CAGATCATTGATATTATGCCAAGTCAGTTCCATGTGTTTCGATTTTTTAAATACTCTTTATGATGGATGTAATGCCAAAGCAGTGTTTTTCCCTATATTTGAAATGCACTCTCTGGGAAATATCTTGGGCATAGTTTTTTTTCAATTAGGACGTTGGCCGGGCTCTCCTCATGGAGATTTCAAGTAAACCTACACGCCATGTCGCTCCGAAAAAGACGGTGGTCGATCTTCAGGTTTCAGGCACCAGCAAAAACGATTGACACGTGTTTCCAGCATGCGATTTTTAGAGGATATTTACTATAAATACCTCATTATTTTATATTATTTCCAAGGTTTTCCAAGTTTCCCACTGTTCTATGACTTGGGGTTGCTCATTACAAAAAATTAGGCCATAGGTTTCAACTGTGACTTCAACCGTGACGCATCGTGACGCCATGATCTGCACCAACAGCCGAAATTTGTCGCCCAGAGAGGGTGCTCTCCAAGTCGCCAGGTGGAAGAAATGGATGGTATTGGGTGAACCTAGACCCTCCAGTTGTACCCATTGGATCATTGGATCATTGGTATTTTACCTGGTTGCCCCATAATTTTAGTGTGTGTTAAACAATGTTTATGGTTGCTTGGAGACTCTAGAACTCTAGGAACATTGATTGATGGTTGGTGAAAACATCGGAATTTTGCAACGCAGATGGTATCGGATGATATAACCAATTCGGATATATGACCAATAAATGATGGTTAGTTAGTTGTCGGTTTCAATTCCCATCCTGACAAATGACCCTAGCCTGTTGATCATGTTCAGGATTGGTTGCCAAAAACCACCCAATCAGTTGATTAATGGTTGCTGTTTTTTTTTAGGCATGAATGCAGAGAAGTGACGTTCAGCATTTTGTCAGAAGAATATCATATTACCCATGACAACACTTATAGATGATGTCCCCATAATTATTGTCCTATATTCCCATGATTTTCACATTGAACCAAAATATAAGACGTGCCTTTCATTGTGACCCTCGAGCTTAGAGAGTGGCCATTTCCATCAGCTGGGCGTCGGAACCATGTGGTCCTCTTTGGCTGTTGCCGTTAGTGACCCCATGTGCCGCATTCCATGCTCAGGCTGGTGACTGCAAATTTTCTTGATGTGTGGCTTAGATTTCTTCTTCATACCATTTCCAGAGAAAAAAAACGATTCAGATATACCGTACAAAAGTGGTTGTGTATTCAGTTTCCTGTTGAATGGAGACTGGTTTCAGAAAACTTCGTGGCTTTAGAAAGGCGACTATTCCATGTGCCACTGCAAGTTGAAACCCAACTCACAGATCGCATCCAGCTGTGGAGTACAAGTGGTGACGCTAAACAAATCCTGCAGGAACCACTCCTAAGGACCTAATTTGTGCACCAATTCGTTGCGAATTGCTGGAGTTTTTACGGGTCACACTGGCGGTTGCCGCGCTTCATTTGCCATAGACATTCATGGATGCTTCAACCCACTGTGGGCTCCCCAGCCTTGTAGGATCCCCAGCCTTGTTGGAGGGCAATTTTCAGCGATATCTCCACCTTGACTGTTGACCATGTTGACCCACTTGATTCAGTTCAGCCGTTCAGCCTTGTCATTTTCAGGAATTGGCCACCCTTGTCCTTGAGAATTGGCCATTTATTGCCGCGGAAACCCTGCTGCCCACATTTGAACCAATGACCTGGAACCGGTGGACACGGCGAGGATCGAGTCTAGACTTCGGGTGGTCAAAGAAATGCTGGATTTCGTCGGCAAACTTCGGCATTTGGCCATGAACCCCGTGGATTCAGCAAAAACAGGTGCTGTTTTGTAATTTGTTGATCTAAATCCACACCTTGTGATATACACAGAACATCACAGAACCATGAACGCCATTGCACTTGTCTAACCAGTTTGTGTCCGCATTAGATCTACTATCAGCATCAGACACTTTGCTCATATAAGCGTATTCTAGCGTTATAGTGTTGCTGATATATTACCACAAGATTACCACCAATCTCTGCATTTCAAAAAACAACAGCAACTGCAGCTTGGCAGCCACAAATTTGACCATCGCTGAAACTAGACAGCCCGCTGATGTCACACAGCTTTGCATGGTTGGTTCAGAGGTGACAGCCATCCCAACACACTGTTTCCCGCCCGCGTTCGCGTCGCAAAACAAAAGCTGACCGATGCTTAGCACCGAAGGTCGCGAACCCGAAGCTTCGGGCCGTTGAACGGTGGTTATGAACTGGGATGGTGATGTCGGCACCACGACCACAGGACTTTGATTTTCAATTTCGGGATGGGTCCAAGTCGTTTTCCTACAGATGATTTCTGAATGGTGGTAAGTTCGTATACGCAAGATCTGCAGGTCCGAGAACCAAAAATGGACCCAATCCCCAGCGTCAGATGTCGACGTTCGAAAGGGGTGGATGGCTGAACAGCAGGCGATGTACCTCATGATAACGTGCACCTCCGAGCCCGGACAGGCGTTTGAAGATGTGAAAAGAAGCACGACATTGGTGAAGGGTCAGGGATCACCAAAAACGACTCGGTAAGTGGTTGGCAACTAAGCGGAATACTAAACATATACCCTCTGGTAATTTGTTACAAAGCTATTGAACATGGCCCATTTATAGTGAGTTTTCCCATTAAAAATGGTGATTTTCCATGGCTATGTTAAATAACCAGATGGTATATGTTTAGTAAAACATGGGATCACATGGAGAATTGTTTCTCCAATCTCTCCAATTGTTTTCCACATTCAGATCGTCATGGTGCCATAGGTGCCACGTGGTGCCACTATGCAGTGTTCATATCAGCGCCGTACGACATAATTATTGGATATGTTGGAATAAATTTTAGTATGCCATACAATATTGGAATACAAAATTGTACCATACTACATAGCATCGCCATGTTCTTATTATATTGGAATAATTTTTGCTGGTACAAGATGCCAATAGTGTGCCAGTTTCTTGTTGGACTCGGGGGATTACTATGGATGTGCTGCTATGGATGTGCTATGGGTTTAAGTATGAAAATAGATTACCCCAAACTCCTATGGTTAAAAGATGTTAAAAGCCGTATATTTGAAAACCTCATTCTCATCATTGACCATTTGAGGTATGCTCCATATTTCTCGGAAAAAGAGCAAAAAGGATACATACTCTGGTAAACAGACATAGCTATAGCCAGAAAATGTGATTCTTTTCCGATTGAAACCTCCATTTGTATCCATTTGTATAGTTCGGGGATTTCCCAGCCATGTGGACATATCCCCAAACTGTTGCTCTAAGGATATAGCAAGCCCCGGTCATAGCTGCGGAATTATGGGAACCGGGAAATTCATCAGCGATTTTTCATCCTGGAAATCATGGTCTATCCTTTTGGGAACCCCTATATACAGCCTAGACTATACATTTTTAAATATGCCTCGAATATCTGTCACAATCGAAAAGACACCAAATTGCATACACTAACCATGATAGTTTCTTAGCTATGCTATGGATTATATTCTACCGACCAGTTTAATGGGGTTATACATATATCACATGCCCTTCTCCCCCAAAAAAACATTAAAACAAATCCATCCGGAAGCCATGGTTTCGTGTTGGATCTATGTCGGATTGGGACTGGATCAATCCAAATATTTGGATATTTATGTGACAACAACTTACAAGCGTGAACATCTAAAAGCGAATAGGTCATAATATGATCATAATAGATCATAATAGAAGCTTATAGGATCCATTATGATCTAGTATGTATACAAAAAAAACAATAGATCCATATAGATCCACCGAAAAATATGCTAAAACCCTGGTTTTGCTTATTAAAAACTGAGGAATTTGGCTTGAACCTTGACCCAGGGGGAACGCTTCCCCAAAATCAACGCAAGCTTGAGGTGAGCATGGTCGGTGAGAGATGGTGAGATGGTGAGCAGGTGGAGAACAACAAAGACTTGGGTGTATATATAAAATACATACTATATATACTAGTGTATAATATATGTAATTATATATAATTATACAGTGTATATATAATATATATATATATTCACATGTAATTATATTAAACATATTTAGATATACTACATGTACAATATATATACTGTATATATATATAATGTAGGTGTTTATGTGCATATATATATACTTACACATAATCACGAGTCACTAGTTATTGCACAATCCCTATCAGAACTCGGTACGAACAATAGACTTTGGGCTCCTCCAAGGCTGAGGAGTTGCCATTTTCAAAGGCCATATGATGAGCTCTACCTTTCTCTAAAAAAGAGGGCGATGGTTTGGTAAATCGGATGATGACTTGGATGACTTGGATAGTTGATCTCAAACACAGTGTGAATTACCATGGGATTTGCGCTGGGAAGTCGTCTTGTTTATGATCTGCCTCTTGAAGCGATGTTCCATTGCCACGTAGAGTGACGCAAATCCAACTTGTCATGGCGCTAGTAGTGGTTGTCGTTCAGCATGTTCATGGTTCTTTAGTGTTTAAACAAACAACTGCATATTGTATGTGTGTCTCATGTGGTTGAAATCTACTGGAAGTGGTTCAACATGCCAAACAACGTTGACATGGACTGCCACTTGGCTCGAAGCAGTAGTGTTTCACAAAGTGCAGAGCAGTTGGAAAGCTCTGCAGAGCCGTTGAAAAGCCAACATGAAGCGCATTCCAATGCAACACGTGGAACAGTTGGAAGCAAGATGTGGATTGAAAAACAAAACTTCTGGATGTTGCCTTCATCGTGGTGTCCAAGCGGAACGTGGGCTGCTGACTCTGCCAAACATGGCCTAACTATCCGGTTAATCTGAGTCTGAAGTTCAACCTTTGCAAGCTGCTTCAAAATGTTTGGTCAAGTTTGGTCATGGTTTTTGGCCAGGACACTTCAGAATTGTTCATAAAACACATGGATAATCATAGATATGAATTAGATATGACACATAGATGTCTCAATGCATATCATGCTCTGGGAGTAATCCCATCACCAGCGTCACCAGTTGATGAATGCCCTGAAAGCCAATGGGATCATCAAGGCAGGGCCCCTATGGCCTTTGGTTGGGATTTTTCATCACAACCACCAAAAACGGAGTCCTATGAGGTAAATCATAATTTTTGATGGGTAAATCCACTATTTCTATGCCAATTTTTAATAGCTATGTAACAAATTACCAGAGGGTTAGATGACCCCTATGAGTTGGGATATAACATGATGCGAAACCCCTACCTGGCTGCAGTTCCAGTTAGACATCATCCGTCAGTTTCCCCCTGTGGTCAGAGTTGCAGCGACCCTTAAACTATTTCGAGTCTGACCCCCAGGAAGAGAGAAAAGCTATGGAAAATCAGCATCTTTGATGGGAAAACCATGGGAAAACGGTGATTTATATGGAAAATCACCATCTTTGGTAAATGAACTATTTCTATGGGCAACTTTCAATAGCTATGTTAGTCATTACCAGAGGGTATCGAATATTCTACTAAACCACATAGATCCATATTGCAAAAAGGCACTACTACAGCGCTCTTTGTGGTTACGAGTGAAGAATTTTGGTGCCCCATGTCCCATGTTGTCTCGACGCGGGCTTCAGGGGCATGAGAAGGTCCTCACTAGTGACTTGGCAAGAGATGATGGGTCTCATTAATCTCGGAATCTAGTTGCCAGTTCTGGAGTTTTCCTGTGAACAAATAGATTTCTTATATTTGGATGTAAATTGGATAAGTGTATATAAGATTTTATAAGTATAGTTACTCTTAAATTCAAAATGTATAAATTGGATGGTCATTGTTCAACGCAGTGATCCCAAGTCAGATGCGAAGCCGGCGCTACGGAGGTTGTTTCAGTCCTCGTCTGCCAGTGGAGATGGGCCGTGGAAGACTCAACGGGCCGTTGCTGTTTGAAGATCGGAAGGGAAGGGACCAGGATGGGAATAAAGGGCTATCATAATGGGATGGAATATCATGGCATGTGTGATAACTTGTTTAACAATGTTTAACAAGACTAAGATGGTAAATTTGCATATTTATACCCAAATATCCATAAATATCCACTATCTCAGGGCTTTTTTAGGCCACCATTTCTCACCATTTTCGCACATTTTGCAAGGCATCAGAGGGTGAGCCTGTGGTGCAGATTCCCAACAGTGACCTTCAGCTCGCAGTCGATGCGCCCAATGGGTGCCCCCAGCGCATGATTCGCAGCTTCAAAAGGGACATGTGTTGACTATGAAGGTTTCCTAAGTCATGGGGTCACCCCCAGTCATCATCATCCATTTTTCATTGGCATTTTTCCTTATAAACCATCAATTGTATTGGGGTACCCCCATGACTATGGAAACCTCCATGACTGTGACTATATTCAAGGTCAGTCCATCTTAGAGCCAGCCTCATTTACTCATGAATCGGTCTTTGATATCTTGAATCGTATCATTTCTTCGTGATTCCATGTGATTCATAGCTTTTCTTAGGCTGTTGAAAACCAAAAAGCCAGCAACGTTACTACAGCGGCTAGTGGCCAGGTATTGCATGAAGATCACTGGGCCTTTCCAAGACAAACCTTTGGTGTCAGCCGCCGTTGGGAGCACCCAGTTCTAATCATCGAGGTTGGTTTCCGCGGTGGTTGGGAGTTCACCAAGAAATATTGGGATATATGGGGATGTTTCTTGTGATGTCATAGTATTCTCCAAAAAAAGATAGAAAAGTGACATGAAGTAACATCCTACTAAAATATATAATGGAAAAATAGCTGTTCTATGTTTTTTGGTGGTTTAACTGTACTTATTTTGTTCTTGATCTATCCAAAAAAAGGCTTAGATGTCATGGTGTTGAAGCTGTACTGACATGCACATGTTGAAAATCCATTTGATACTACGCATATTTTCAGTGGCTTAGCTTGCTTCATAGCAGCCAATGAAATTCCTTTGTATTCACATCTGACCTTGTCTAAACTTGAAATACCCATAAATACCCCCATTCCATCCACTTGTTAAGCATCAAGGCATTGACCATCAAGCCGCTTCAAGCCAGCATGAACCCATCAAGCATCAATGGCTGTCCAAAACAATGGAAGATATCTTGGCCATGTCAGTCCATATTTCAGTGGAAATATTCAGAATATACCCCAGGACATTCCCTGAAATTAGGGCCTTTTGGGTAGACCTGACATATCAACATGGTCGGTTGTTTAAATCAAGTCCCTATCTTTGTTCCTTTAACCCGCCAGAGTTTGGTCGTGATGGGGATATGTATGTGTATGATAGTACTTTACGTCGCTATACGCTTACACTGTATACACATTGTCCCTATGATATACTATATATATATGTATATACATATTACATATGCATAAATTATACAATATTATATACCCAATAAATATGTAATTATATCTTGTGCCTACCATATATAGTACATACTATATACATACTATATAGATACTATATATATACATTATAGACTTCGATAGTCATGGAATACCATCGACTCTGAGGCTGAACGTCTTGGAGCTTGGAGCCATGAGCAGATCCTGCAGCTCAGCTCGCTCAGCTCGGCGGTGGAATAGGTAGAACAATTGGGGACTAATCCCTTTTTGGAAGATCATCTAAGACTTGGGTTTGTCTGAAAATGTTGGGTTAATATTCCCAATGAAATAGCCATTTAATAGGGATAATGATCAGCAAAACCATTGGGTTTAGGGGTTTAGCCTATTTTCAGACACACCCACTTAGAAACTGGTGAGTCAATGGGGCTTACAAGCCAATTATAAATGAGATACCACTTCTGGTTCGGAAACTGTTCAAAAATTGGGACTTAAAGATGATGAAGCACCAGCAAGAATGGGGATTATATCAAATTTATGATGAAGATATGGGACTAATCCCTTCCCCATAATATTGAACACCACCCAACAACCATGGTGGATGTAAGGGATGAAACCACATATTTGAGACGAAAAAAAATGGGGGTGTTAATGTTTGTGGGATGGGACTAAATCCCATGGAATATGTATAATGTATATATACCCTTTGGTTATTTAACATAGCCATGGAAAATGGTCAATTATAGATGGTTTACCTATTAAAAATTGTGATTTTCCATGGCTATGTTAAATAACCAGAGGGTATATTATATATAATATATATATATATGTACAATTTTTAATAGATATGTATAGATATGCATAATGTAGTACACATCATATATCCCATTTGAAATGCATGAGTATTATGGTGTTTTTGTAAATCCAGAAAAGACACCATTGAATATGGCTGGAACACAATGTAAGTAAAATTTAACTCATGGAACTTATATTGATTCCCCAATCAAGAGTTTCAAGGTGATTGAATTGATCTTATCGGGAAAAAGCTGTTGAATGATGGAAAGACCGCGCATTTGCCATTTTTGTATATATATTAATATATACGCTGAACCTAGAGTAGGTAGAATTTCGCCCAAATCATTTTGCGGTCTGGAGGATGATAAGTTTGAGACATTTTGATACTATGATATAATATGTATATATATATATATATTGTTGGATCCTGATTAGTGTCGAGAGTCGGCCCCCCCAAACAATTTTAAGAGTATCTTTAATGTGATTTTTTGTAGGGATCGGGGTTTGAATAAAATTTTATCAATTGATTTTGATTGATTTCAATGTACTGCCATTTATTTGTTCAATTGATTTTCAATTGATTTCAGTTTATGTTCAATTGATTTTCAATTGACTTCAGTTTATGTTCAATTGATTTTCGATTGATTTCAATTTACGTTCAATTGATTTTCAATTGATTTCAACTTACTTTCAATTGATGTTCAATTGATTTCAACTTAGTTTGATTTCATTTTCAATTGATTGCAAATAACTTTCGATTGACATCCAATAGTAATCCCATAGATTGCAACCAATAAAAATATCATAGAAATATCACGGAAATCCTATAGGAATCCCACAGAAATCCAATAGAAAGATCATAGAAATAACATGGACATAGCATAGGAACCACAAAAAAACCTATAAGGATCCCATAAGAATCCCATAGAACTCCCATAGAATTCCCTCAGACATCCCATAGTAATCCCATAGAAATATCATAGACATCCAATAGAAATACCATAGAAATCCCATAGGAATCCAATGGGAAATCCCAGAGGCATCCCTTTGAATTCGCAGAGAAATTCCAAAGAACCACCATGGAATTCCCATAGAAATCCCACAGGAATCAAACATAGAAATCCCATAGAAATATCATAGAAATATCATAGAAATACCATAGGAATCCAGTGGAAATCCCATAGACATCCTTTTGAAACCCCATAGGAATCCCATAGAAATACCATCGACATCCCTTTTTTAATCCCATAGTAATCTCATAGAAATATCATGGGAATCCAATAGAAATATCCTGGAAACCCCAAAGAAATCCCATAGACATCCTTGTGAAACACCATACCAAATCCATAGAATTCCCATAGAAACTTTTTAGACATCCCATAGAAACACCATAGAAATCCAAAAAACATGGAGATAAGAGAGTAAGATAGAAAAACTAAAGGAAGGATAAGAAAAGGAGAGAAGGATTTTGGAAAAGTGTCACTTCAAAAAAAACTGGACACAATAGAGGACCCATTGAAGACCAGGGTTGCTCATGGGCTACCCCCTTGAAAAAATGTTTGAGTGCTGTTTTCTAATGTGGTTTTAATAAGACATCCTATATTTTGGGAAATTAGACATTTCGAGAAATCCAAAAAAATGGAGAGAAGAGAGCAAGATAGAAACACTAAAGGAAAGGAAAAGGAGACAAGGATTTTGGAAAAGTGTCACTTCAAAAAAAATGGACACAATAGATGCATTGGCAACCCCCTTGAAAAATTGTTTGGGTGCTGTTTTTTAATGGTGTTTTAACAAGGCATCCTATATTTTGAGACATTAGACGTTTTGAGAACTCCAAAAGAATGGAGCTAAGAAAGTAAAAAGAGAAAAACTTTAGCAAAGGACAGGAAGAGGAAAGGAGAGAAGGATTTTGGAAATTTTCACTTGTAAACAAGTTGGACACAATAGAGGACCTCTACAACAAACATGGTTTTTTCAAAACTTTGGTTTTAATAAAGAAATTTGTTATGTTTTGTTATTTCAAATTAATCACATAAAAATGCTGAAAACACTGAAAAAATGTTGAACAATTGCCCTCATTTTTTTTCCCAATAGCGACCCGCCCCAGCAATTACACAGATTCAGAATTACTTAGAGAAAACTTTTCACAATAGCGACCCACCATGCCAATCAGGATACAACAAAGTATATATATATATTATTAAATGTTATATATTGTATATTAGTGTATATTGAATATGTATATATATATGGTATGATATTTGCATCGTTGGGTAGTATGTTTATCCATTTATATCCTATCTACAACCAACACATTATTTGGTTATCTTCATTGTTTGGTAAAAAAAAACAAGGCCCCCAGTTGGAATTTGCGGCCTGGGGCCTCAGGACCCTGGGATCCACTGATCTGCTAGCATCCCATTTCTTGTTGCCGAAGTCAGAGATTTGCGGCCAAAATCCAATTCTTTGCGTGTTAAAACCACATTTCTCAGTCTGCCAATCAGGTGCTTGGCTGATGCGGATTTGCCAGAGGCCACTGGCCCAAACGGGGGGACGTTGCGTGGATATTGTGGTTCTTGCCACTTGTTTTTTGGGGACAACTGGCGATTTAAACAGCAATTTTTGTGTGACCTCATGTCTACTTTTTGTCTCCTAAAATCAAAAGAAATTCAATGTCACTTGCTAGCGATGGTAACCCCGCCACAGACAGTAGATATCAGGTTCGACAAACAGTTGTGGTGAACATCTACAGTAAACTTCTTCACCTGCGAGTCTCACTCAGAATTTCCACGCACGTGCAGGCAGAGAATCTGGGGTTCTGAAAGCCCGATGTTGGACAGCATGTTCTAGCCATGACCAATCATTTTTTGGTTCAGAAAAACTCATGCTGCTGAAACTGGATCCACAACTATAGATTGAACTAACACATTGTTGGCCACATGGTATGGGTCCGTTGGAAAACATGCACCATGTGGGCCTGATGTTTGTAATCGGACCAGTGATGCCAATCCTTACCTGGGTGATGCTCTCCAAGGAGCAATATATCTATGTATAATATATATATACTGTATATATATACCCTCTGGTAAACTAACATAGCTATTGAAAATTGCCATTTATAGTTGATTATCCATCAAAAATGCTGATTTTCCATAGTTATGTAAACGTTTACCAGAGGGTAGGGGAGCTCTGGAAATCACCAGAATGCGGTTGAGATTCTCCCGCAAAGTGGTGGTCATCTGTCAGGCCAGTTTTCAAGTTAGTCCGAATCCAAAGTCCGGAGCTCGTCCCGGTAGTTTTTGACCATCCCAGATGGAGTTGACACTGGAAAAAACGAGTTGACTATGAACAACTGCCCAGTTTATGATAGTTTATGTGGGTATGAAACAACTGAAATTCAGAGAGGCCCGCAATATCAGCACTGAAAGGTTTGGTGGTTTGATATGCTGTTAGGTTCGTTAGGTTCACCCGAATACACTTGAGTTGCAATGATCTCAGATAACAACGGTCTTTTTCGAGAAGAATTTGTTTCACTTCCAAGAAGCATCAGCGTGACATAGATATAGGTAGCACCCAACTCGTCCTGCCCACCATGTCCAGAAAATTATTCTCAATAGATTAATAAGTTGAGACATCGCACAAAGTTACCATAATTCTGCTTGACGAAGTTATTGAACTTATTGCTTTGTGCGGTTGTGTCGTTGATACAAAAAATCCTGTCCCAGCAAGTCGGATCATATCGGATCATCCTGGATCCCCAATGACTGACTTTGTTTGTTAGGAGGGCGAATAGCAACAGATTCCTAGCTGCTTGGCTGCTTGATCTAGATATATCCAGATCATACTTGTCCTATTCCTGTTGGAAATTTGGTTGATTTGTTTGGAAGGGTGGCCCCATATCCCCATTGATTGTAATGTAGGTAGATGGTAGAGATTCCACCCCTTTGAGTTTCCCAAAAGTATGTCATTGGGCTCAAGAGATCACCGATGGGTACTATCAAGGACATCGTTGATCACCACTTCATGGTAACTGTTTATGGTAACTTCATCATGAAGTCAGCAATCCAGATTGGTCCAGATATCAATATCAATTGATTTCAGGAACATGAATTAAATGAATCAATCATAATTCTTCAATTATTTTCATTAAATCAATCAATCTATCAATTATTTGGAGGAAAACATTTGTCTTGTCCCGTGTAAAATATCGGATTTCTCCCCCTCATCCATAGATTTGTCCCTAATGCGCTGAGGCCGACAGCGGGCGACCATAGTGACTTCGGCTTTGGTCCCAGTGTCGGGAAGCCACAGAAGACGGTTGATCACTGCGGTCACTGCATTTTACTAACACAAGAGTGGTGATTTAGCCACCACCCTCTGGGAAATACCATATATAGCATACATGGATCCTATGGGCTTTATGAAGATTCTTAGCTTCCAGCTTTGAAGTCTTGGGAAATGAACATGACCCTGAAAATGACCAATTTGTAGTGGAAACTAATCTTCCAACCCCGATGACTGGCAGGGTCGAACTGTTAATTTACCAGAGGGTAATTGTTTCTTTGGATGGGTGTCCAATGAATGTTCATTTTACGCTTAGTTTGCTAGAACTTGCTATATTTTACCATTTTGTCCCACGAAAGTGTAGATTTAACCACCAACTATATGATATAATGATATAATATGATATAATTGTGTTGTCTTGATGGGTGGTTAGAGAGTTTTGCATCTTATATCATATTATGTTTTCTTGATATTATATCATAATATGATTCTTGATGGGTGGTTTCGAGCATTGTTAGGGATCTTAGCATATGTTGCACATTTTATGTTGTGGCTTTACCACCGAAATCAGAAGGGTTATGGTGGATAGATCACCAATGATGCTTGGTGAGTTCAAAAAAAAACTTTTTTTTCAATCCCCATGGGAAGATTATCCAAAAACACCTACAGATAGATGTTTGGATTGTTTGGGATGGCGAGAAATTGCCACTGCTCTGAAAGATGCTCGAGTCGTATCCAGTCATATCTCCAAAATCACAGCGCAGTTGGCAGTTGGGTTCTGTCTTTGTCGGACCTCAGATTTGAGCATTCCAAAAGATGGGATAGGGGGGACTCCAAACACCCAGCATGTTTCTGACCCTGACCCATCCTGATATGCTCATGGTTTAACATGTCCCGGAAACGGGCAGATACCTCGATGTAGGCCATTTCCGTTGCCACTTTAACCATCCAGAAATTTTATTGAATGCTAAGCGCCAGGAATTACTACTCTTTTGACCATGCTGGTAATCGCCATGGTTTAAATTGGACGGCTCAATTCCATTTTTTCACATTTCTATATGAACTCCAGAAATCAACTCGATGAAAAAAGTTCGTAAATATCCCCAACCTTTTTATGGTAAGAATATGCAACAATCATATCCCCACTAATTACATCCCCATTAAAGTCAGTAAATATGTTCATCATGTTCCTAATTATATTAATTATATCCCTGTTGGACGAACTAATTAATGGGAAATGAGTTGGTATATATTAGCTATGATGTAAATATTCAATGAATATAAATGACATTTTCGTGGTAAATCGATGTCAAATATCCTCATGTGAATTCTATTCCCAGACAATTCGTTGGTTATTCCCATAGTCTTATGCTTAGTAGGGAATTTTCGGGAATGATCCACTAACTATCAATAAGAATCCCATTCTTCCATTCCCATCCATTACCCTCTGGTAATTTAACGTAGCTATGGAAAATCACCATGTTTAATGGGAAAATCCACTATAAATGGCCATTTTCAATAGCTATGTGAGTTATTACCAGAGGGTACCTACGTAGTAAAACGCACCAGTAAGTCGTTTCGTGAACTGAAAAACGCCAAGGTGGCTGTGAACCTGCGCCCGCGGATCTCCACATCAGCCTTGTGGCCACTGCAGGTTGGCATCCATGGGGCATCCCGCCGGAAATTGAGAACTGGTTGGTGGTTTTCTGAACCATCTTGAAAATGATTAACCTGAGGATTCTGAATCATTAACCATCTTGGAAATGGTGATGGTTGATAATGCTTAAAGATGGTTAATGATGATTGATAATGATGAATGATGGTTGATAACAATACTGGTTGGTGGTGTTCTTAACCAGCTTGAAAATGGTGATGATTGATAATGGTTTATGATGGTTAATGATTCAGAGGATTCAGAGGATTCTGAGGTTTTTTTCTGTACCCGGCCTGGTAAACTAACACAAAAAACGATGGAAAGATCCACCATGCTATTAATGGGAAAATCCACCATTTCTATAGAAAATCACTGTTTTTAATGGGAAAAACACTATTTCTATGGCCATGTTCAATGGCTATGTCGCTATGTCGCTATGTTTGATTTTTGTTGGCATTTGATTTGAGAAAACATCAGTGATCTGGTGAATTTGCCAAAAAACTGCTGCTTTGAATCACCATCTTGAAGGGATTTCAGCAACTTGAGAATTCCAACAGAAAGTGCAGGCTTCGCCATACAGATTGTTGTTCATGGAGATTCGTTTGCCAATAAACGATATACATTGGTATACATATATCACCATCGCATCACGGGAGCTAATTGGATACCCACCCGTTTTTGGGTTTCACTGGGGATAGCACCAACCAAACATGATCATATATATATATATATATACATATATATATATGTTATATATATATACATATATATATATATGTTTCATATATACATATTATATATATGTAGTATACGTGCAACCCCAAAAGCTTTCTTTTTTTCGATAGGCGCCATGACCGACATGGCGTATTTCCCGTCAAGACCATCCATCTTCGGGATCAACTGGAGTCACCATTTTGCCCCCTTTTAGTGGGTAACTAACCAGACTAACCATGAAATTTGCTGGGTAAATGACCATAAACTTTTTCAGAATGACCATTTTGGTGGGTAAACTATCCAGAATAACCATTTTGGTGGGATACAGTCATTATTATGATTATAATGTATATGAAATTGGTGTATACTACCCGTTTTTAGATACATCCAATTTGACATCAGCGCCATGGAAGTTTCAGCGCCAGGCCAATACACCGACCTTGGGGGTTTCCTTCAAAGATCAGGTCGCTGCAAGAAACGAACTGGGCGGCGAGCCGGGGGGTGGTATACCACTATTTTATGGTTTATCATACAAAAAAAAACATAAACAAACAATTAGTGTATGATAACCACTGTCAGTTCATCACTATTTTTATTTGTTTCTGATATTATGACACTTATTGCTGTATTTTTTCATGTTAGTATAGCAACAACTGATGACATTTGACAACCAATAGTTGATCATCAACAATTATACTATTTAGTCTTAAGGTGTTTTGATGTTTTTTTTCCACGGGTTTGAGACTGAAATGACATCAATCGGGAGAAAGCCATAATGCTAAGGACCTCACCACCATTTCGAACATCACACACATGTAAAACATATATTCCTGCAAGAACATGCCCTCAGATTCTCACAAGATGCTGAGTTGTTTACTGATTGGTGGTTTGGAACATGTTTTATTTTTCCATATATTTGGAATAATAATCCCAACTGACTTTCATATTTTTCAGAGGGGTAGGTCGGCCACCACCCAGTGAGTTGCTTAAAGATTTTTGAGAAAATGTACCGATTTGCAATTTCTCTGGGCCTCAACGACATGATGCCCTGCGGCCCCTGCCCGTGCCGCTCAAGGTCTTTCGCAGGGATCTCCAACGTTTGCTACATGGGTTAGTCCAAAAAAGGACGATTGGCCCCCAATAATTATATGGCCATGCTTTAATGTGCAAAACATGTTGGGCTATCCTTTCTTTTTAGCGAAACCTGCATCTTCTTCGAGGCAGATTGTTCCTAGCAATGGTTTCTGCAGGCTATGGTCACACAGTACTTCTTCGCAGTGATGGAAGTGCGGTAGCTTCGGAACTGATTCATGATAACTTGACGAATCGTGTGGCCCATTTGAGGCCTGAATCTGTCAAGGACACTGCTTGCGACTTTGGCGATGCATATACCTATACATATTTAAAAATACATATACAAATATACATAATGTACATATTTAAATATACATATACATATATAACCTGGCACATCCACCACATGCATATATATATATATTATATGTATATAAGGGGTGGGGGGGGGTGTTTCGAACCCGTTTGTAAAGAACGCCACTATGCCATTTTTTTTGCAGGACTTGCCGTCCAATCGGAGTTCAGAGGCACAGTTTTCTTATATATAAACGCGTAAATATATATATAAATATAAATAAATAAATATATATATATATATATAAATATATAATATAAGGGGTGGGGGGGGTGTTTCGAATGCGTTTGTAAGGAAGTCCACTATGCCCTTTTTTTGCAGGACTTGCCGTCGGGACAATGCAACATTCCACCTCTAGATGAAGGAGTGTCATACACCCAAATTTCTGCAGGGTTTTTTCACACAGTACTTCTTCGCAGTGATGGGAGCGTGGTAGCTTGCGCAGCCAACACTTTCGGACAATGCAACATTCCACGTTTGGATGAAGGAGTGTCATACACCCAAATTTCTGCAGGCGGTGGTCACACAGTACTTCTTCGCAGTGATGGGAGTGTGGTAGCTTGCGGAGCCAACACTGACGGACAATGCAACATTCCACGTTTGGATGAAGGAGTGTCATACACCCAAATTTCTGCAGGCAGTGATCACACAGTACTTCTTCGCAGTGATGGGAGTGTGGTAGAGTGCCGAGCCGGCATAGACGAAGATCGCAACTTTCTTCCTTTGGATGAAGGAGTGTCATACACCCAAATTTCTGCAGGCAGTAGTCACACAGTACTTCTTCGCAGTGATGGGAGTGTGGCAGCTTGCGGAGCCAACATTTTCGGACAATGCAACATTCCACCTCTAGATGAAGGAGTGTCATACACCCAAATTTCTGCAGGGTTTTTTCACACAGTACTTCTTCGCAGTGATGGGAGTGTGGTAGCTTGCGGAGCCAACACTGACGGACAATGCAACATTCCACGTTTGGATGATGGAGTGTCATACACCCAAATTTCTGCAGGCGGTGATCACACAGTACTTCTTCGCAGTGATGGGAGTGTGGTAGCTTGCGGAGGAAACTTTTATAGACAATGCAACATTCCATCTCCGAAATCTTGGAGCTCTTGACTTTTGCAAGTGCCAGTCATCGGTATATTTGCGATTCTAGCTTCGTTCCCCAACTTCCAGTCCCAGATTGTGTTTTGCAAATGGATTTTGTTTGTGAAGGTGATACAGTGGTACTGATATGCTTGAACATGGCTGTTTGTGAAGTTCTTCGCTTGAATGCATGCGGATCTGACCTGGTTTCGGAGACTCATCAGCGGATAGCGAGGGAGTTGGCGGCGCCCCTCCGAAGTGTTCGGGTGGTTTTGCCCGGAGGAAGGTCATTGTTGGCTCGCGTGTCGCAGGCGAATCCATCTGCAACCCTTGCAGACATGATGTTGAGTGAAGAGTTCGGCTGTGATACTGCAACAAAGGGTGCGGTCCAGTCGTGATTCCATTTCATCGAGCTTCCTCTGCACGCAATGTAAAAATATGTCATCAGGACTTTACCAGGTCCAATTTCACTCCTGCTATGGAACATGTATGACAATTATGACGGCCCAGCTAGTACGAGTAGAGCTTCAGTTTCTGATGCTGTTGATGTTGGACATCTCCGAATACGTTGATCCAAAATAACCTTCACATGTTCCAGAGATGGTGATTCATCTACCTCTTCAGCAACCAAGTCATTTTGAGATGTTGTACCACGTGTTATGAGCCTATCATAGGGCCTGAAGTGGGCCAATGATTGGAGATGGTAGTGATGGGAGTGATGTCAGATATGAACAGATATGGCAGATATGGTTTGTCTAAAGATTGGATAGCGCAAAGTCCAAAGATTCATTCAAGGCTTGTTGATATGAAATTGCACTCTTGGGGCAAGACATATTACGGATGGCCCTTGTGCCCTGTGGCCAAGTGCAGTGCTGAGTTCAGGTCAGTTTCAGAAAACACCTCCAGTTTGAGTGCAGGTTTGTCAGATCTATCAGTGGACCATCGGATATTGATCTAGATATGGTCCATAGATGAATATCCAAGATTATCCAACATTGCTCCAGCTATAATATTTAATACGGGTTTGTCCAGAAATATATTACAGTCTAGAAATAGGGGGCATTCAAATATCAGACCCTTTTGTTGATGGAGAAAATGTTGTTCGCAATCATTTCCGGTTTTCCCAACATTCTCAGACGAGTAATGTGGTAAGCCCAACAAAACCGTGCTCAATAATGTAGTATCCTGATTAGTGTGGGGGATCCCCCCTAAACAATTCTTTGAGTCTCTTTAGTGTGGAAATTTTCCAATGTACGGGTCTGAATAATGTAAAGTCAAAACAAATCACTAGATTTCAATTGATTTTCAATTGATGTCAATTTACTTTCAATTGATGTTCAATTGATTTCAATTGATTTTCAATTTACTGAGAATTTGAAAAATTGTTAGAGAGTTTTTTTTTAATTGGGTTGTAATAAGGCATCCTATTCATGGGAAGTTAAACATTTTGAGAATTCCAAAAGAACGGAGCAAAGAAAAACAAGAGAAAAGTATTAGCAAAGGAAAGGAAAAGGAAAGGAGAGAATGAATGTGGAAACAAAACTGGACACAATAGAAGATCACCACAACAAACACACTATTGGGGATCAGGGTTGCTCATGGACTACTCCCTTGACAATTTGTTTGGGTGCTGTTTTTTCTGGGTGGTTTTAATAAGGCATCCTATATTTTGGGAAATTAAACATTTTGAGAATTCCAAAAGAATGGAGCAAAGAAAAACAAGAGAACAGTATTAGCAAAGGAAAGGAAAAGGAAAGGAGAGAATGATTTCGGAAAAAATACCTCAAAAATAAACTGGACACAATAGAGGACCACCACAACAAACAAACAAACACATTATTTAGGATCAATATTGCTCATGAAAAAAATTGAAATAAATATTTCTTCAGACAACATTTGGACACAATAGAGGACCACCACAACAAACATAAAAAAATGAAATAAGTTATATAAACAACAAATTAAAAAATAATTTTGAACAATTGAAAAATATTGCGCACGGTTGGGACGGTCAGTTGGCCAGCTAATCGCAGGCCAAACTGTTCTTTGACATGGCCGTGAGACCTAATGCATCGCTATGGGGACCACAGCTTTGCTAAACTTTGGGAACTTGTCACAGGACGATTCCCGATGAATTGACGCAATGCATCAAATGTAGTCGTCTCCAAATCGGACGGCCACCCAGTTTTGATTCCCTGCTGTGGGGGAACTATACAAGAAAAGTGAGAGCAACCGGATGTCCCCAAGAAATGTCAGCCTTCTTAACTATCCAACCAAAGACTTTCTTAAAGTAAGAGAAGTCAGAAGCAAAAGTCACAACCGTCAAAACACCACCACTCCCACCACTCCCACTAGAGCTAATCGCACGCCGCTCACGCCTGGACATCCTAAACGCAACGAACAATTGAAAAATAAAAAATAATTAAAAACAAACTGAAAAAAATACACCCATTTTTTGCAAAAAAAACGACCCACCCAATCAATTTCCCTGGGTCTGAATTATTTCAAAAAAAATCCACAAAAGCGACCCACCACACTAATCAGGATACCACATTATGAACATAAATGGGTGACATAGACATGCATAAACCATCGCCAAATGGCTGTTATTTATGGCGTTGGTCAATCCCACCTCAACAATCCTAAACCATATCATAGCTGTAGTCACTATAGTCTACACGGCCCATTTAGTTCGAAGATAAATCCCTAAAGTTCGTCAAACAATGTCATTCAACTACCCAGATTTGATGATTGAGGAACTAACCATTTATCATCATTTATCATCATTTCTACTAAATTGAATCAATGTCATTAAAACTCATTCAACCAGCCATATTTTGATGGTTGAAATATGTTGACATCCATCAATCCGTGAGTTTTAATGACATCAAAATGCCATATTTCTCCATAAAAATGGGCTAGATCCCCTCGGGATGGGCTGAAGAGCACCGCCAGGCTGCTCGGGTGGTGGCGCTCCAAGCCACCTTAGAGGGGAAGGCCATGACGGGTATCCATGACTTAGGAAACCTCCATATGTTATGTATATGTTATGTATATGGGTATGGATCAATACCTATTAATACCATTTTTAGGGGGATGAACATCCATTTACCAGCTATTTTGATGTGAACTACAGGGGTACAAGGTTTTGACACACTGCCATATGAGCTTAGTTGCTGCCTGGTTTGATGAAGTCTCTTATGATCGACCAGGTTGCAGATCTTGAGCGCCAAAATTCGGTGAACTTTTTTCCGATAGGATGTGTCAACGAATGAATAAACCTTGACCATTAACTGGAGGATTGGAGAACTATCCACCAAATAGTCATAAGTAGAATGTTGGAATGCCGTTTTTCTACATCACCATTGGTCACTATAGTCTACATGGCCCATTCAAAGTGAAATCCCTTCATGGTGCGTTATGAAAAATCTTGGGTTGACATTGCCCTTCAGAACAGGATGGTCATCCCTCACCTTCATCAGCACAACTGTGAAACTGTAACAGATGTTTGTTGGTGTTTGTTGGTCTCTTGGGAACTATACGTATGGTGATGATGGTGATGATGCTGCTGATGATGATGATGATGATGTTGAGGATGTATGCAACCGAGCTCGGATTATCATCCACCCCAAAAACAAAACCAGTAGAAAAAGGGATTTACCACGGTTCCTATGGATCATTGGCCCCCATCTACTCCCACTGCAGTTGGTCTTGGAAATGCCTATGGTGGCAGCACGCTTTCGACATCAGTGGGCCATTGTTCGGGTGCCCATTGATAATCTGCAAGGGCGAAGGTTCCCTCCAAACCCCACGTTCGCCCACACCCAGATAACACACCCAAACAATATCATATAATCACTTGTCACCAAAGGATGAATGAAAAAACTGGCTATACGCAGCGATTTTAACTTTGGGTTTTTGGTATTTAGGGTTTCAATTTAGGGTTTGGGCCCTTTTAGGTTTTTAGGATTGTAGGGATTGAAGGTTTTAGGGTTTTAGGTTTAGGAAAGTAAAAAATGCTAGCCATGCGCAGGGATTTGTCAAAGGATATGCGGGATCCGATGCTAACGTGGGGTTTGCAGCGAACAGGTTTTACTTCCAATTTCCTATTCCTAGTCCGAAAATCTTTCAATTGCCATGAATGTTCCACACACGGCCATGGCTCAAAATGATGAACCCCCAAAAGAAGTCGATGGTTCACTGAAAAATCACCCACTTAGCCCATCTTCGCATGAGGTTGCAATATGTTACAATAGTTTGACTCATGTTTGTTGATTTATTCTCCACTCTATTCCCATTCTTGCTGGGTATTTTCTTTTTTTAAGCCATTGCCAAGCCGATATGGCGAGAAAAAGCCGCCCAGGATGTTCAAGCAATGAACGACACCACATCGTGTCAGGCAGAAGGCGTAGTAGGCGGGGCTGGGAAACAAGACGAGATTCATGCCATTGTCCAGGGTGGCCAATGGTGTGAAAGGTGCTCAAACAAGCATTTTGTGTGGGTCAGAGGTTGGTGCAATGACGTAATTTGAATATCAACATCACCAGAATAGATGGTGACTATGCTGGGAAGACCGTGGTGAATGGTTGATGAAACGGAGGAGTAGCAATTCGTACTATTGCTTTCCAAGTTGTATATGATATAGCCTAGAGTTGTTGGCCATGGGAGAAAACAATGGTTGGGGTTCCCATCAACACTTGTTCACCAAAAATGTGATTCCCAAATGCTACCCATACACACGGGATAATATTTGAATCTCCAGTGGGCTATGGGATGGTCCCCAAAAAAAATAACGCTACCCAAAAAACTAAAGGTTGATTATCAAATGTTCATGTTGAAACGTCAACGAACCCCCATGTAAAATGATTTTCGTGGTTTTGAGAAACATTAATTTCCCTATGTATATATTATATGTATATATATAGAGTTCCATGATTTCCATTTCACGTGGAAGATATACATATTCATATTATATCATATTATATCATTTACCATCTGGTTATGACATTCACAGTTCGCCATGGAAAGATCCACCATGCTATTAAGAACGGTGTTTACATGTGTTTACGATCTATTTCTATGGGCTAAATGGGTGATTTTCCATGGCAATGTTAAATAACCAGAGGGTATTTTGATAAATCACCGGAATCGCAGGCGCCTCACGGATTGCCTGCCGCTTTGTCGATGACGTGCCGGTGCAGTTGGTGGTCTTCTGTGGTATCTGGACGAACGGCGAAGATGACGTGGTTGTCTGAACATTGGGGATACATGGGATACCTCAAGCATGGTGGTTTAATATGGTTTAATATGGTTTAATGGGATATGAATGGTTTAATGGGATATGAATGGGATTTGTTCGGATTTAACACCTTTTTTTCCGGGATTAGATATCAATGGGATACCGTTAAATAACAGTGATTTCCCGAAAAATGACAATTTTCCATGGCAAAGCACCGATGCATCCACCAGTGATGACTCGATGACCCGCTGAAAGCGCTGAAAGCGCAAGGCCCCTGCGCCTTGCGCAATGCGCGGATGCAGATCACTGGAGGCTTGGAGGAAAGGATGGAAAGGATGGCGACATGGATGCTTTGGTTTTACAGCAATGCAGTGACATGCAGTGACCATATATATATATTAATATACTAATATATATAATATAATAATATAATATAATATATAATAATATAATATAATATATAATAATATAATATAATATAATATAATATAATATAGTATATATATATACATACATACATACATATATTGATATTAATGTTGAGATATGGGTAAAAAATTGACTAAACACATATGATGTTTCCCGTATGATTTGCTTTTGCCTGGGATCAATCCGCTGCGTCGTTTTTCGTATCGCGCCCTGAAACCCCAAGCAACCAGGCGAGTGTCTCCCCAAGCACTTTTGATGTAGGGATCTTCGCTACCTGCCACACCCAGTGGTTGGTTGTTTTGGGGTAGACAGGCCATAGCTACGTGGTTTAATTAGGGCTTCATAGCTAAGTGCAACAGAGGTTATGACTAAGTAACCTGGGGTTATATGCCCACTCACATCTGGATGTGGCCTGGTAGAGCACGATCAGATTCCGAAACTAGGTTCCTGCAAAATTGTTTGATGGCTCCTGGATCTATTCTTACGACACCCCAACGGGGAAAATATTGTATGATGGAGAAGCAATGGGAGTATATGGCAGCAGTCGAAATTGCTGATAGATATATTATCATTATGATTTATTATGGTACCCAATGCATAATGTGTATTCACCGCAGGAAGAAAACACCGGACACGATGAGACGGCATTGCATTGTACTTCCATCTTGTTAGCTCAGAACATGAAACAGCTGATTAAGTTCAAGTCTATTGGCAGGAAGTCAACATTTTACTTGCCCATAGGATCCATGTATGCTATATATGGTAACATTTACCATCAATATCCCCCAGTCATGTTAGCATTAATATACCAGCACCATGGATTCGTCATGGGTTAGGTTTGGCTTCTGTCACCGCTAGGTTCCACGTGGTTGGCCAGCGATCCCCCATCTTTGTTGTTTGCTAGTCATATCCTGAGTTATGACTGGTTATAGGCCACGGACCCCCCATAGATGTTACCTATACTGATATTCCCTTGTGTTTTTTGACCAGAAGTGGGGAAAAGGGAAAAACATCTTGCTTATATATGTAATGGCTATTAATGGCTCATGTTTCTTTTCGATGAGAAAGGGCATACAATACCCAGCCCAAGATTTCCCTGGGAAAATGATCTACTTTTATGGTGGGTAAAAGCCACGTCTCTCTGTTAGTTTACAGGAGGGTGGCTATTGTATCCATGAACATGTCGTATGGTTTTGGGTTAGCTCGTGGTACACCCGTATATATAATTTTGGTGATTCTGCCATCAAACCCGAAACCCTCCAAGTTTGAATAGCTGATGGCATAATGACAAATATAATCGTGTGTTCGTGTGTGTTCAATACTTTCCACAATGAATAGTGATAATCCATCCAGATGTAGCGTGTTTTTTTGGTTTATCAAACATTTACGAGATGCTTGGTTTTTTTCACTGTTTTTCATGATTCAATTTATAGATGTTTTCCCTATTAAAAGGGTTGTTTTCCATGGCAAATGTTTGGTCTACCGGGCACTACCGGGTACCTCAAATCTGGCCTCCCCTTGAACCTTCGAGACCGTACGAGAGGCGGAGTCGCCAAGACGGAGTTTGTTCACTCAGGAGTCGGCTGAAAGAGATAGGCAGTGGCTATGCACAATCCATGCAATGGACAAGAATGATAATTGGGATTGGGGTAACATGGGGAAACTGTCCCAAACCAACCTGATTTAAGATTATTTAAATTTAAGCTAAGTGAATTAAAATCATTTATGCGGATGAAGGTGCGATTCACCCAAAAAAAACTTCACCTGATGGGGATTTGACCCGCGGAGAAAAATGGAAGACCGTGGCAATACTACCGTCCTTAACCGGCTGGTGTCATGTGTTTTTGTTTTCATCCGCGTGCAGATTGGTATGTTAATCGATGGGATGTTGGGTTGATCGAGTCAGGATGCGCAACTTAAATCCGGATGAATATTTCCTTACCCAACTCTTAGAAAATGACTCCAAACATGTCAGATCCCACTTATATCATCATCATATCCCGGTCCTGGGGATGGGTTTGTGGCGTCAGCATGCGTCAGCCTCAGTGTGGTCACCCTGCTTTGGGTGGGTCCGCAGGAAGCAGGTATCATGAGACTAGCGAGTGGGGTGCCCTAGATGTATGCCCTGATGTTGATCCTTATAGGGTGGTGACTGACTTAAAATTCTTGGTTTCCATTCCGATCACTGGGATGATCGATTCTGACATCTTTGAGATGAGTGGTTGTTTGTTGTTCGGGTTGAACACTTCCCCCTATCCAATCAGCGTAGCCGTGTATTTTTCTGTGCAGCCAGAGTTCCCTGCGAAAATGATTCCACACGAGTTCCCGGTTCCCGGAAATAGGATGAAGATTCGGCAGGTCAAATCGCTAGCCGCTTCATATCCCAGGAAGGATGTGTTCTTTGAATATGCGGTAGCTGGAAAGCACCGATTTTACGGTGCTTTACAAGCAAACCATCAGATCCTGTCACATGTTATTTGCAAGATATCCAAGATTAGCCATGCAGAGATGCAAGATCAGTGTACGGGGGCTTGAGGACGGGGTTGTTTGGTCGGCGAAGTGAGTTCGAAGCAATTGCCAAAGCCTGACTCGGTGGAGGATGGTCATGATATATCTCCCCACTATGATAAACTCAAGTCATGAGAAGATTGTGTGTTTTTTTGTTGCGCTTTTCAATATGCTGAGAATGGACTTTAAACCTAATTATGTCACAATTATTATTAATATGAGATATATAGATTCAACTATATTAAAGTTACTTCATAACATTTATCATATCATGAATATTGTAAGTTATAAGATTCAACTATAATGCGAGTCCAGATCTCATCAGTTGGACTTTTCTCAAGGTCCACAAAGTCCCAGTGACTCCCAGGGGCACCTGGCAGCGCTCGCCGAATTTCAGGCCATGGATTGGACTGTCCTCGTCCGGAGAAGCTCAATGGGTGTGGCTGCTCAGCGACTCACATGGGATGCACAGATACAACATGTTTAAAAGAGTTTTAAATGTTTTGAAGTACCGATTGGTCCTTTTTTTGGTGCATTTTTCAGATGTATCTGGAGTTCGATTTTTTTTTGGTACAGATCATCAAAAAATGCAGATATATTCCAATATCATCAATATATCAATATCATCAATATATAAATATATCAATATCATCAATATAAATATATCAATATATTTCAATATCATCAATATCTGCTTTTTTTCGCAGGATCCTTGTGACGCTACCGAGGTGGTCGTTGTGAGAGACTCCATTGACGGCCAGGCTGGAAAAATCCCCGATGAAGGGTTTTCCATATGTTTTAATATGGTTTTCCATATGTTTATAGCTGGGAAAGTCAACTCTAAATGCTAGGTTTTCCAGGCCATATGCCATGAACTAATATAAAAATGGATAAAAATGGCAACTTAACTTGGGAAGACGTTTGGAAAATCATAGGAACATCAGCTATGAATGGAGGTTTCTAAGTGGGAAAATCATGGAACTATAGCATTTTCTGGCCATGTGACTTACCAGATGGTAGTGTAGCTTAAATATTAACCTGCTAATGACTGTTTTTCACTGATTCTGAGAAAAAAATGTGGTAAATTGATGTAAATTTCTCAGATGTCCTTGAAGCTTCTTGTGATGACATTCCCATTTCTAGTGATTGAACCTAGCAACTTTGGGGTACCAGTACTACCTCGGTTGATGTCATCTCAGTTGATATTTTTGTTGACGTCCAAACTTGTACATGCCATCCAACAATAGAAAAAAACCAGGGCTTACTCATTTGGTGTTCTTCATCCATAGCCCAAATAGGGAAATCGTCCCTTTCTTTGGATCAATTTATGTTAAATCGAAGTAAATCCGTTAAACAACACAATAAAATGATTTCAATACAGTGAAATCCCATCCCTGATTCTATCAATACATTCCATTGAACTCCTTGAACTTCAAGGAAGACTTAAGGCCAGGTTACTGCACGGCCTATGTTCACCAGGACAAGGTGCACGAGTTTGTGGTCGCTGCTGTGAAGGGCCAAGATGAAGTGTCAGGACCTCGAAGACTGAGGAGAACTGCTGGATACAAGAGAATCGTCGTTTTTTTTGTTTATCTCGTTTCAATAGCCGGAGAGCTTGAGAGCTTCATGGTTTTTGTGTCCCACCATTCCACCATTTCTGTCCAGAAAAAAATAAGTCCTTTGAATCGATCCGTATAGCGACTCTCAGTCAGAAAGTCAGTAAAAAAACCCTAGTTTTTGATCGTTCGGCCATCCACCGATATGTCATATTAATGTTCACATAAAATCTACTAATTCATACTAATTCTGCTTAGTTCATCTTATTTCAATATTTCCCCTTCGCAGTGGTTTCCCCCAACAAAAGCCTTTGTTTCATCACCTCCCAAGGCAGTGGAAGGAATCGAGCAGCCAAAGGTACACCCGCCTGATCGGCACGGTGTTGCTGCAGGCGGCCGAGGGGCCAAAGGGCTGGGTCACATGGGACGATGGTTTTCAAAGGATGGGGAAGTAGGGGAAATCATCCCCTTAATCAGTGGGATCCTAATGTTGTCCTTGTAATATTTGATGTATCATGTAAAGGTCAGATCCTAATGATCATGATCCTAATATCTGATGTTTTCGGGTGAACTGTGTTTGACCATGATTTTGCTCGGATATGGGAAACATGTACAGTTGTTTTAGTCAGCCTGAAATCAGATGTGGTAAACCCATCGTTTTGTAACGATAGAGTCAAAAAAGAGGAGACAAAGTGTGAAGCTCACGGCAGCATACAGCAGAAGTAAATAAGTGATGACTATGTCAATGGATTGGTTTAAGGGAAAATCTACAGGAAAGCCCCATATTTAATGGGAAAATCTATGGTTTCCTGTAGATTTTCCCTTAAACCAATCCATTGACTATGTCAAAATCATCCTGAGTGATGTTCTTTAGTGAAACTCTTGTCATTCGTGAGAAGGGGTGAGTGATTCCCAAGGAACAGCACTGGAGTTGTGTCAGGTGAGATGTTGGGCTCTATCGACCAAATGTGGTTGCAATGGTCAGATGAAATCAGATTACCATAGATTACCAACAACTGGTCCAGTTGTATTCAAATGAGCCTGTGGGTTAGAAACTATGCAATAAACACAAACTGGTTGGTGGTTTGGAACATTTTTTTCCATAGTATATGGGATAATCCCTCCCAGTGACTAATATTTTTCAGAGGGGTAGGTATACCACCAACCAGATAAACACACAAAGATTGACATGTAGATTTGTGATCAAGTTCCTACAGATTCCCAGACAATGTGTTCAAAGATGGTGTGTTTTCCATCTCTACTTCGAAAGACCATCCTGTAAACGCTGTCCGAGTATGTTTGAATATGGATTGTTAAACTGTTAAACCACCATTAAACCACCAAACATAATCCTGGTAGTGATGATGGTGCATTGGTATGCGTTAGTTCGCTGTGACTCACTTCATTTTGATGATGTCAGGCCACTTTCTTCGCAGCTGTGGGGAAGCCCAACAACTGCTTCCAGTTGACCTGAAACGTTTAATTACCACTGCTATGTACTATGGAATGGGGTTGAACATGGTTGAACAAAGATGTCAAAGTTCCATGAAAGTTGTAGATGTTTTTTTTTTTTTATGTGGCATGTGTGTTTGGCTTGTTGGAGACATCATTAACACTTCTGTGCCATGTTGCTTGCGTCATCCAGTCTACATCTCCACCGTAGGGATTGTTGCGGATTTTGTTTCCAACACATCATTTGGATCGCAAGAATATGGTCTTATGTTTTTCTTTGGACAACCGCAATGATTGGATTTGTGCCCCATAAATCCAACTTATGTTCCAACATGGTTTTCCCATTGGGGGTCCAAACATGGAATGGTTTGAATTCTGATCCATCACCAGATGTTCCTCCAAACTCATGGTTTTCAATCATGCTTAGCAACTATTTGGGTCCTTTGGCGCCCCATTTGGATCCATTTGGGACATGTCATGGTTGTTCAGCCCCCCAGAAAAATGTTAAAAATCAAGTGGTTCATTGTTATCATCATACCAACAGTCGCAGTGTGATTGTTACTAACCCATATTTAACCGTAGTACAACAGTTGGAATCTAAGAATTGAAATCACGTGTATTCATCCTGCTACATTGTAGTCATCGCATAGTGACTATTTAATCATCATTATCGTCAGGACAATTGTAATCATGCAACCCACGTATTTCCTGGTTGAAACAATCGCAGTAATACTTAAGTTTGTGATTTCAATGGCTCCACAAATAGCCATCAAAAGTTCTGGTCCCACCCCAGAATCGTTCCAATTGTAGTATTTCCCAAAACTGTATTAGATAGGTTCCCAAGTTTCCCATTGGGGTAAACAAGAGGATATTTAGCCCACCCCAAACTCATGGTAAAAACAAGTAAAACAATCTTAAGATTCCAGTAAGTAGATGTACTCTAATTTCCCTCAATATCATGAATTCCATTAAATCCCATTGAATCCCGTAGAGAATCTCAAAGAACCCCCATAAAAACAAAAGCGTATTGGGTAATCGCAATATCACTGATATATATCATAATACTATATAAATTATATAATATAAATCACATATCAGAAATAACTAATACTAATACATATCCATTATGATGATTCTAATTGTCACTAAATAGCTAAGTATGATATGTCGTAAATAATTATCATCATCATATTCTAGTTATGAGAATTATCATTATAATGGATTTGGAAATGGTTTGAGATAATGGAATTTGAACACAATAAATTATAATTATCATCATATTCTAATAATAGTTTAGTGACAATTCATAAAATATAATTGGACATATTTCAAATCATACTAAAGTCATTATAACAATAGATTCTAATGATAGTGTACTATAATGATTCTAACCTAAACCATTAATTATCACTAGGATAGCATCATCGTTATAACATGATAGGAAATCCAAAATATGATAATCCCATAGTTTAGTCCCACTTGGATCATTTAGTTATGATTATAATCCTATAATCATGCTTAATGATTGGTTATACTAAATGAACTATAATTATCACTATAATTAACTGTAGTGGTTATAGAGATTAATACGTTTCCCATCCAATGGTTGCATGGTTAACTATAGTGGTTATAGTGGTTATATCCCTTACCACATGGTTAATAAACTATAGATATAATAGTGATCATTATAACCACTATAGTAAGTACAATTATAATTATAACATTTATACATTCATAATAGTTCCATAACCATAATAACCACTATAGTTCTATAACCACTATATATAGTTATTATAACCACTATATAGTGATTCATAGTATAACTATAGTGATTATAACCACTACTTTACTATTATAGTTTCGTGATTATAACTACAATCGTGGTATAATCATCACGAACCTCATCCCACCAGGTGGCTCTTCTCTTCATCCCCGTTTCCACAGCGGCGCGGCCCGCCGTTTGCGCCGCTGCTTTGGCGGTGCCATACCTGGCACAGCTGGCAGCGCAGCAGGCGGCATGTTTATATGAGCTATGGTCAATACTCATGGTTAATAACCATTAATAGGAACCAGTCGTCCAATGGTTCATAGGGATTTATAATAACCATTATAAGGATCCTTCTTATGGATGGGATGACCATCAACCATATAGTGAGTATTGACCATGGCTCATATGTCGGATTTCGATGGATTTTGAGTTCTCCGACGTCTGTGCCAAGTTGTTTATTTTTTAACAACTCCCCGATCGTTTTCTGGTTTCAACTAGTTTCAACATGTTTCAACTAGTTTCAGCTGTAGATCTGTTTATTGACGATGAAACGATATGAAACGCATATCTTCCTGGATGGTCTCAGGACTCGCCCATCCTGCTGAAGTCCGCCTTCTCCTCTTGGCCCTTCAGCGATGCGGCAGACGCGTGGCATCTGCTGCTGGAGGCGGAGAAATTGGATGCGTTTCTTTCCTTTTTTGACATAAAGACCTGGTTCAGATGGTTAAACCCACTAACGGTTACCCTCTAGTAATTTTTGACATAGCTAGAAACAACAAATTCAATTCGATTGTTTACTTTAAAAAAAATGTGGGTTAGTTCTTCCAATTTGTGATCCATCCAATACTGGTCAAACGATGTTGTTTGTCTAAAACCGAGTTACCCAAAAAACGTATCTATTCATTTTCCCGGTAAATAATGTGCACTTCTGTTAGGAAAGAAATCAATTCTAAAGCCACATGCACCTGAAGACATACCTCATGCTGTGTTGATAGAGTAATTATGTTGTTTCGAATCTTCCATGCCCAACCGCCACTGTCAGGTGTTAGTTGGGATGCTAGGAGTCATCGTCCTGCATGGCTATGCCGCGATGCTGTTTCTCCGGGACCGGAGGGTTTGGGTGTTTCTTCGCAGGTGGAAAACGTCGAAGTTTTGGTTGAACGAGTTTGATATGGTTTGATACAACCTAATGTCGTAAGCCCAACAACAAATCTAATATTCGGGATGGTTGTAATCTCACCCATTTCGGGGTGCATTATTTGGGATGGTTTATGGTTTCGGGCCACCGTATTACAAGAATTTTAGTGAAACCATGCCACCGGGTTGTCGCTGCCGCCAGGAAAACGGGCCCGGATCGGCAGAGATGATGCCGCATAGTGACTTGGAAATTTCTGCCGGGTGCCCATGTTGAATGTTGGGGGTTAACCAAAAACCAAACGGCTACATGAACCATATTGATATGTATCATATACAACAACATAATTACAATAGGTTAGATGTGTGTCTGTAACTATGGGGGTTAGATCATAAATAGTCATAAATATACAAATAGGGATATCTAAACTATACATACTTCGATCCTCCAATTCCCCTGGTAGTGATTACTATAAGAGGAACAGGATGGGCAACTAGTTCCTGAATTTGCCTTTAAAAATTGGCCGCGAATGTTGCCAATAAGTGAGATTTGTTGTTGAATGATGGTAGTTATATGTAATTATTATTCAATGTCGATGTTATAACAACCATATGGGCCATCATTTATCAATGTTGTGTAAAATTAGATATTAAATCTACATGTATGATCGTTACGAACCAATCAGTATTTAGCAAAATACTACTGTAAATGCTTGCGCATGTTTGTAGGTACTTCGAGGTTAAAGGTATGATAGTGCTTACTGAGTTGGTCTAAGTATGTCTAAGTTGCGAATGAGGATGACCATGAGATAATGTGGGAAGCTGTGGCAAGCCCAAGACTAAACCATATGGAGGCTTCCTAAAACGGGGGTACCCCCAAATCAAGTCCTTAGACCTTTTTAGCATTGAAACCCATGGTGACTTGGGGATCCTGCCCCATATCTGATTGGTTCGTTTAGATGTTATGGGACTTCCAAAGTTCAATCAACGTGAATTCGCAACAACACTCACTACTTGGTGATCATTAAGATGGACCGCGCCCCAGAGATACCGAAGGAAAACGCCACAAAAACCATGTCCTGGTGCTGATGGAAAATGGTAAGGAAAAACACCCTGCTTATTTCATGAAGATGTGGGAACCCTATTGTTGGGTCTGTTTTTGGATCGGTTCTGCAGGGTTTTTCAGTCGGAGTCCTGGCATCAATAAAAACTGTTGGATCCATGTTCATTTTCAGTTTTTGGCCATTTCCGCAGGAAGAATTCAACTATGACTCTGGGTGAATCTCAATTCCCGCAGAGTAAACCAAATTAGAGCTAGAAAACTGTGGCATCACCTCGATACAATCCCATTAAACAAGACTTTTAGCGTTGGCTAAATTCCATTACCCTCTGGCAATTTCACATAGCATACATAGCCACATAGAAAATCAAGAAGAAATAAATCGGTAAACCATCTATGAATGGATATGAATGGGCAATGTTCATCAATTTTCCATAGCAAACTGTTAGTGGTTGGTGGCTTGGAACATATTTTTTCCATTTCATATATGGGATGTCATCCTTCCCATTGACGAACTCATATTTTTCAAGATGGTTATTGCACCACCAACCAGGTTATATATTAACCATTATTAACCATGATTAGCCATTATTAACCATTATTAACAGTATATAATAACCATATATTAACCAGGTTAGATGACCATAAGGTAACTGTCCCATGTGCGGTGAAAGCTCTTCGTCCAGGTTTGAGTTTCGGTTCCTGGGAGTTGCGTGCTGTGGGCTATGTGGCCTGGGAGCCCTGGGAGCTCAGGAGTACTCAGGGAGTAAGCGAAATGGCTAGACGTGGAATAGGTGGTTTCATGAGTACAATAACTGGGGTTTATAGGGTTTATAGGCAATATATCATGAAATCAGTGATATCAGTGATATCAGTGATATATCTACAATTACTCAAAAATGTCAATTGTTGTGCTTCAACCGTGCTTGGGATATTTTGGGATGATTGGATGAGATGATGGGAGTATCATGGGGGGTTAGTGTAGTGGGAGTATGGGGATCGAATGGGGATGAAGCATGGCTTCCATCGCTTCCATCGCTTCCATCGCTTCCATCGCTTCCATCGCTTCCATCGCTTCCATCGCTTCCATCGCTTCTTATTAAATATCCTCATAGTATGCTTTGGTGTATATTGTGATCTCTTAGTATTATTCCTGAATTATTCCTGTTATATCCCCATTATTCTCATCATACCCATACCCCCATTATATTGCCATTACTTCCCATTGTATCCCCATTTGTTCTTTATTTCTGGTGTGTATATATATATATATACATACATGAATGTTGATATATAGATAATAGTGTTTTTTTAATATTACTCACCCGGTGTGTTTACTCTTATATCAAAATGATGATCATATATAGATATATATAGATCATATCCCCAGCTTTTCAGATGATTACCTCTATTAATCTGTAGGTCATATATCCCCATGTTATTGTCGTCTCATCCTTAGTCCTTTCAGCTCGCACGCCACGCGAAGTCGGAGGCCTTGCCCTTGGCTTCGGCTTCGGCTCGGATCGCCTTCAACGGTTTTTCCTCGGGCAGGAGATCAGCGGTGGATTTTCTGGGATGAACTGCAGGGTTCAATGGGAAAATGGCCTATAAATGGAGGTGTTAAAGGGATTTAATGGGATTTAATGGGGATATCATGGGATTTAGTGGGATATTAATGGGATATAATGGGATATTAATGGGTTTTAATGGTATATAAATGGGGATATCATGGGATATATTATTGGGATATTAGTGGGATTTAATGGGATATTAATGGGGATATCAGGGGATATATATATAAGATTATATAAGCAACAATCTATAGTATTTGGGAGAACCATGGAGAACCCGCAAGAATAGTGGCGTAATGAGCAACTTAAATTGTGATTGTTTCTTTGGAAGAATTTGGATTAATTATTTGGATATACCAACAACATAGTATGGTGATGTTCCAGCACGTCAGGTGGCTCCCGGACTGTATACATAATGATCCTGAAGAGGATTGAGATTTGTTTGTGAATTTCCATGCGTCAGGATTCCTATATGTGTCAATGCATGAACATATTGTGTATATGTGTATACACACATCATGTACATCTTTATTCCTTTCCAGGGGCATGATTTTCATATGTTATATAAGATACACATGGTGGATACATGTAAAGTGAATCATTGGTTGGTGCCACACAATTGCAGAGCCTTTCTTTAGATATTTGGATATTCATCAAAAAAACAATAATATGTATATATATATATATATACACAATATTTTAATATATATATATATTAAATAAAAGCATCTAAGTACGTTTATGAGGGCTGTTTGAAGATCAGGTGCCTGTAAATCCACTTCTTTACGACCCAATGTTTCGGGCCGCCATCTCCCATTGACGCATCTATCTCTGCTATGTCCCATTCTATCCTTTCAATATTCCCCATAAAATTTCCCCAATATCCGCAGAATATCCCCTAAAAATATTGACATAAACTATCCCCAAGTTGAGAATATTTGGATAGATAAAATATCCCCAATTCCCCATAAACTATCCCCTTATAGAATTCGTGTCCAATTTTCGCCAATCATCGCATCTTCCAGGCTCTTCCACCTGTTCTGCGGCTCTTTGGGACTAGCCATCCTGTTGGGATTGGTCGTTGGGGGCACCTGGTACCACCTGGTGGGGTTGGGTTGGGATGGAACACTGTCGTTACCCTCTGGTAATGACGAACAGTTTGCGAACTGGTATAGATGGCCATAGAAATAGTTGATTTACCCATTAAAAATGGTGATGTTCCATAGTTATGTTAGTTTACCAGAGGAGAATTGTATCTATAATAGCTATAATCACCATTTCGAATAGGTTTTTTTCACCTATAAAATGGTGGGTATGTTCCATTATTTTCAATAGCTATTACTTAATTTGGAAGCCGAGACTTTCACGATTTCCAGTTCCTGCACCCAGGCATTGCCTTGGAAAGTCCTTCGAACTCTGAGGGATTGGTTCCAGGAGGGCCGTGTGATCTGCTGGACGCCCTAGTATCCAGAATGACTTCCCCCAGGGTAAAATGACGTTATTCTGGGATAGATCCATTTAGATCCTGTTTTCTGATTCATCATATCATTCATATCTATACTTTATTCATCTACATCCCTGAAAAAAAGAACACTTCTCAGGATCGCAGATTTCCGAAGAAACCCAGCAGTTGTGGATCATGTTTCTCAGGTTTGCAGCATCATTCCGATGGTCGAACTCAGTATGTGGATCGCGTTTGGGGCCGCAGATGGATCCAACAACGGAGTCGAGCTGAGAGTGGGGAAAGAAGTTCAAAACATGCACCAAGGGTGGAAGCCTTTTTTCAGAGGATCACCAAGTATAAACAATATGTATATATATATTATATTATACTATATATTATATTAAATATTATATTATATATTATATTAAAAATTATATTATATATTATATTAAATATGGTATATGTATATTTATATATGTATTATATTTTCTATTATATTATATTTTATTATATTATATTATATTATATATTATATTGTATTATATTATATATTATATTATATATTATATTATATATTATATTATATATGTATTATAATATCTATTATATTATATCATATCATATTATATTATATTATATCATATATTTTATTATATTTTACTAAATTAAATTATATTTTACTGTATTATATATTATATCATTATTTTGTTATATTATATTATTTTTTATATTTTATATATTATATTATATATATCATATTTTATATATTATATTATTTATTAAAGTATATTATATATTATTATATTATATATTATTTTTTTGTAATATTATATTTATAATATTATATATATAATATTATATACTATATTTTATATTATATATTATATTATTTATATTATATAGACTATACATACATAGATGGCTTACTTTTTGTTGATTGTTTCAAAATAATTCACAGAATGCAGTATACACAAACACAATGAGCACACATGTGTCATCATAGTGTTCATTTCCGTTCTATGGGCTGTACTTCAGATGTTGTTTCTTTGGACAGGTTACTCAGCTTCCATTGTACTATCGTGGCCATGAAATTACATAGGTAGTATACAAAGTACCAACATCTTAGGGCAAACATACCCACTTTCTATAGATGTCTTGCCATTCTATTTGGGGCATCATCCCACTTAGTAATTGGTTTATCACCATAGTTTGCAGAGATTTGATAAACATATAATGAAATATATATATATATAATGAATAATTATGTATGATTATGTATGCATGTATACTATACACTGCATGTGATGACCCTACCTGGGACTTTTCATCACCCGAGTCTCTTCCCAGTGGATCTGCGGCGAGGTTTGCGACCAGCTCTCGGCCATTCCGGTGGTGCGACGATCAAGGACGGGCACCATGGCCATGGCGGCCATGGCGGCCACGGCGGCCACGGGTCAAGTCATACTTTGGAAATCCCGGAAATAGGAAGTTAATGGTTAATAGTGGTTAATAGTGGTTAATAGTGGTTAATGATTGTTAATAATGGTTAATAGTGGTTAATAGTGGTTAATGATTGTTAATAATGGTTAATAGTGGTTAATAGTGGTTAATGATTGTTAATAATGGTTAATAGTGGTTAATAGTGGTTAATGATGGTTAATAATGGTTAATAGTGGTTAATAGTGGTTAATGATGGTTAATAATGGTTAATAGTGGTTAATAGTGGTTAATGAGGGTTAATAATGGTTAATAGTGGTTAATAGTGGTTAATGATGGTTAATGATGGTTAATATGGTTAATAGTGGTTAATGATTGTTAATAATGGTTAATAGTGGTTAATAGTGGTTAATGATGTTAATAATGGTTAATAGTGGTTAATAGTGGTTAATGATTGTTAATAATGGTTAATAGTGGTTAATAGTGGTTAATGATTGTTAATAATGGTTAATAGTGGTTAATAGTGGTTAATGATTGTTAATAATGGTTAATAGTGGTCAATAGTGGTTAATGATTGTTAATAATGGTTAATAGTGGTTAATGATAGTTAGTGATAGTTAATCATTAAGTATACAACCAATGGCCATGCAACAGGAAGCGATTGATTGGAGGTACCTACCATAGAAAAAAGGCCTATGTTTTAGGGCTCAATTTAAGGGAATATCCCCACAGAATATGGCCAGAAATATTTTACTAACGTACCTGAATTTTAGGATCCTGGAATTCCCATTGAGTTAAGCAACAAGACATCAAACAAACAAGGAAAAACAACATGAAAGTAGCATCGATTTTTTCTGGATGTGACATGATGTCATGAACAATGGTGGCCATCATGGGGAATCCCAACACAAGGGATATACCCTCTGGTAAACTAACATAACTATGGAAAATCACCATGTTCAATGGGAAATGTCACTATAAATCACCATTTTCAATAGCTATGTTATGCTATGTTAAATCACCAGAGGGTATCAGGGAGAAATATACCATCTAATGCTGGGATGGTGGCATTTTATGGTGGACTCATATGGAAATTTTCCACGCCTTGAGTCACAGGATCCTGGGCAGCTGGACCGAAGCTGGCAGTTGGCAGAGTAGCCCTGCCGTGGTCGGGGACTTGGGGGACTTGGACGTTACAAGAGAGGCCGGCAAGTGCCTGCAACTAGGGGTTGGTAACTGTCCCATTTTGGGAATATTGGACATCACCTTATCGTAGCCATTATGGACCATATACCTAATGGTTGGGTGATGTTCAATGGGGACATTTAATGACCCATGTGACCTCATGATTTTGCAGGTTGGGTTTCTGAGAACACGGGGCATCTTCGGATTGTTTTTGATAAAATCCAGGGGTTCATGGCTCCCAAATCTCATGGATTCTGAGACGACATGTTTCACCATTGATTTGCCATTGCCCAACAGATTTTTCACTCCTGGCCTCAAGATATTTCTGTGACACCTGGGGATTGGAAGCCAAATCAGCAGTGCCAAGGCCATGATCCAAGAAGTGGAACATCATGGCACCTGCAAAGAGAGAGGAGGGGATCATTGGCCCAAGAGCCCAGAGGGCCGACGGACAATCATGGCTGAGCACCAGGGGTGAAGCGCATCCCAGCTGGATCTTTTATGGCACCCTATTTTATGGGATATGTTTATGCAGATTTATGCATATCATGGGGATATGATATGAGATGAGATTCTATGACACAATGCTGATAGTTCATCAGATATCATCGGCAATATGATTTGGGTGTGTTTAAAACATGGTTGGTACACCCTTTTTTACCACCCATTTTAAAACATGGCCATTTGCAAGGGAACATCGTGATGGATGGATTTAGGAGTAACTTATGTTCAGACTTAGTGGCAAATAACCCTCAAAATACGTGGGTTAATTATCATTCATTATCCACAACTAGAGCATATGATGGTGATCAACCAGATGCCACTATCCACACTCAACATAAGCAGTCCAAGGGAGCTTGCTAATGCTATATGGATGTGGGTCAAAATGGAAGACCTAGGGGACCACAGATGTTAGTCTAGTTTAGTATTAACCATCCATAATTTTGGGGTACCTAATTTTGACCCATACCCATATTGTTCCATTGATTCTTGGTACCCCCTGTTGGTTCTGGATGACACACCGATGGACACTCATTCTTTTACTGGGAGGAGAATGCCAGATTGAGAAAAAGAATCCGGACCATGACTGGTTGGTGGTTTGGAACATCATTAACCATCATTAAGCATATAATAACCATCATCATTAACCATCATCATTAACCATTATTAACAGTATATTAACTACATATTAACATATATTAACCATGATTGTCAAACTCTCATGCTAGGGATGATCTTCAAAGTAAGTACTCCCATGAGTTTTATAATAAGCCCTAGGCCGGTCTTGCCATGGCCACCATGACTACATTCCCGTGACGGGACAATCTATAGGAACCCCCGGGGTGAACACAATTACCCTCTGGTTATGACTAACATAGCCATGGTATAGATGGCCCAGAGAAATAGATGATGTTCCCAGCTAGAAACCTCCATTTATGTCAGGGATTTTCCATGGCTATGTTAAACAACCAGATGGTAACAATTGTTTCATGTAGACTTTCCCAACAAAATCAAGCCACCGAATGTCACGTGTTGGTAATAATTCAACATATGTCCATCATATCATATCCCATGGTTTCCTACAGATGCTTCTCTTATTATCGTAACCGCCCAAGTTTTGGATCGAACAGTCATCAATCACCATTTCTATCAAGGATTTCTGCTAAAATCAACCACTTTTTTGGGGGATTGTCCCTGAAATCCATCCATTGACATCCCAAGTGGTCCCCGCAACCTGCCCAGGGATCGACATTGGTCGGCAGGACCTTGGCAGCCACTGCTGCCACACCAGTGTCTTGGTGGTCTCGGGGGATGTTCCCTCGGAACTCAGTGGACCATGTTCCATACAAAACTCCGAAATTCCCGGAGGGTTTTTCATACTTTGACTAATTTAAGACTAGTAAATGGGACTAGTTTTTACTAGCTGAAACAGTCTGTGGTGTTTGATATTTTTTGGCAGGGTATGTAAGATTGGCCAACTTCAAGCCACAACAATGCCACAAATGATCGTTGAACTTGGAGAAAGGCGTCAAATTTACTGCCTTGAATGCGCTGTGAGATCTGTGTGGATTGTTGTTAGATGAATTATCCAGACTGGTTGAGTTGAATGGTAGTTTAGGAAGGCTCGTTGACAAGTATACTCAACGGTGAATACTTGAAGGGAAAACCTTCTTCCCACTCGTAATCTGACAACGGATCCCCATCATGATTGACAAAATATCACCGTGGTTGCGAGTCCAAACTGCATCTTCGCAGTCAAGAGAATCCATTGTTATTGCTGAATCACACCCAGAATCACCATGTTTGCGACCGGAAAAAATCTCACAAAGTGCTTTTGTTCCCATGAAGTCTTGGTTGTAGCTCCATTCTTATCATTCTTGATAGTTGAACGATAGTTGATCTTGGTTGTTACCCTCTGGTTATGACTAACATATCCATGGTATAGATGGCCCTAATCGAAATAGATGGTGATTTTCCATGGCAAACTGTTAGTCATAACCAGATGATTAGTCATAAATAGTGGTTAAATCCACCCTTTTCAGCCAGCCTTCCTGACGCTTCCAGGTCGAGCACAGGCTCCGAGATGCGCTCCTACACACCCGTCTCTGAAGGGTTGAGGCCAGGGGCCGAACAGAGCCCGGACAAGTTGGATGTGGGGAAACCTCAAGCTGGGTGACTGTGAAAGTGTTTGGCCAATATGTGGAGCATGTTTTTAGGATCCCAATAGAAGGTCATCAACGTTCAAAGCTCTAAGTTTTGGCCAGAAAGGTGCCATTTCCAAGGCGAGAGAAAGACGTGACCGAACCTTTGAGAGATGGCAGACATGTGATCAATCTCCAGTGCTGCGTGGGAATTGCAAGCCTTGACTTATCTTGAGTCATTTGATCATTGTTGAAAGTTATTAGTCGCCTCAAACGTAGAGAGTTTGGCCAGGAGTTCAGCTTAGCCATCCTTCGGCTTTGTAAAGTTGTTAAAATATTGTTACATACCACATTTTTGTGAGATAGACATTTAAAAATCAGCATCACTCAAACTTTTGATAAACTAACATTCAGGGAGAGCAAGCGTGTGTCACCATTTGCCTGTTGGTAATACTGCAACTTTTGATCATGTTGTTCATTTTTTTTGACATACCACATGCATGTTACATTCATCTACTACAATCAATCAGATGTTGTATGAATCTGAGAATCTGTATGTCTTATGTTGTGCTTCTCCAGTCCCAATTTTCGTCGCTAGCCCCATTGATGACCAGGCACCGGCCTGTCTCGGTGGATAGCCTGGGAACCTGGTTGAAGTTGGAGGAATGGATTCCTCAAGCATTGTGCCGAACTGGAAAAAGATGGCCATAGAAATTGTGGCATTTTCCCATTAAAAATGGTGATTTTCCATTGTTCTGTTAGTTTACCAGAACCTGGGATTCCTGATTGCTGAAGTTGGAGGAATCATTTTTTTTAACAACACTGGTTGAAGATGGAGGAATGGTCACAATATCAAGTTCCCAAAGTTGAAACATCTCACAGCGTCGACTTGGACTTGCACTGGTGGGCTCTTAACAAGGGTGACTGGAATGTGGCTGTGTTCATCCATCGTTGTTGTTCATCCCTCGGTTGGACACCTTCAAGGTTGTGAGTTGTGATATCCATTGATATCCAACCCAATCTACTATCAATATATATATATATATAATATATAAATACTATACATACAATGACATACAATAATACAATAATACAATAATATATCCAATATATAGATATATCCAATATAGATATATATATATACAATAATATACTATATATACATACTCCATATTATGTGTATATACACAACATGCTATGCATATATCCGTTGTAGATGTTGGGATATCGCCATGACTTGGGTCCTCCAAAAGTCCCATGGAATGTCCGGTGTCCGGTGCTGCAGAGGTGCTGAACCTCTGATCAAATCGGGCTGGAGATCACCCAAGGCTCATCACCTGCCAAGCGTTACCCTTTGGTTAACAGTTTGCCATGGAAAATCACAATTGTTCATGGGAAAATCCACGATTTCAATGTTTATTTTCCATAGTTATGTTAAACCAGAGGGTAACTGGTCACTCGACGAAGGCTTATTTTTTGTGACCATTTTATGACATTTTTTGTGACATTTTGGAGTCACATTTGATCATTCACAAAATTGTAGACATTTCCCAAAATAAAAAATTGGTCACTCCAGGATGAAGGAAAATATCTACACTGTACACTGAACACTTTCCGATGTCCAATGTTCCCATGCCGGAAATGCCCCACGTTTTTTCCGAATCTTCTCGCAGGTGGCTGCCCCTCCCAGTGCGTTGCTGCGGGCGCATCCGGTCTCAGTGACCACGTTGGGGGGCCAGGCAGCGAGGCAGCTGTGGCACTTGTTTGCCAATACATTTGAGGATTTCATCACCCAAAATTGGAAAATGATAAGAAAATGATGACACAATATAAAACATATATATATAGATTGAAGTTGATACAGTCATTAGGTGTTTTGGAGAGATTTAAGTGGAATGATGGGGTAAGTTAGTAGATGTGAATAGGATAAGCCAGCAAGACCGCAATATTGAATGACATTGATATAGCTATCCAAAGTGGGAAATAATGAAATCTATGAGTGAGACTATCAATCAAACTAACCCAAATGTGTGGGCATTTCTGTACGGGTTGAGTCATGGTATCAAAACATGGCATGATTTCAGGCATGGGATCGGCATTTTTTTGCAGACCTTGTCAGCTTACTTTTTGACAATCAAGTCCCAATCAAAAATCCCAGTGTTTGAGGATCAAATCTCAGCCAAGCATGGCTAAATACCACCATGTGGGTAAATTATAATATTTCACTAACCTGAATTAAAGCCATTTGGGGATGATTCCCCTTATTAACCATGATTTCCAGTGAGGTCGCAGTGAGGTCGTTATAATTTACCCAGCATGTGTTTGTTCAACAATCTCTGTGCCGGTGAAGTGAAATCACTACGAATAGACTGTAAAGATAATGGGATCTTTATCGAATGGGATATTTTCATGGGATCTATGAATATTCCGGTCAAAGCCATATAAAAATGGAATCTATGTGGGATCTATAATTACGTATAGATTAGATATATATATATATACATACATATATACATAATTATATATATACAACTATATATATATAATTATATATATATATTTTTCCCCTTTATTATATTATCTATTATTGTAAAGAAGCCCATATGTTTTTCGTCTTTTGTTGGCTCCACATAGCTCCAGCATCGACAGCCAAGGCGTTTTTGCTTCGCACAGCGTCGGGGCTTCGCTGGAGTCTGCGGCCTTCCCTGGCTGGATGCAGCTGTGTCGGGATGCCGAACTTGGAAAGTGCCATGGATTTGATATTTCTGTGGATATATATATATAAATGTACGTTGATATACGTTGATATATGTTGATATACGTTGATAATCACGTTGTATGTTGTTGTACATATGTTTTTGTTTATAGTTTGTTTTTCAACATATATGAGTGAAAAAAATTAGATATTTCTACCATGACCAACAATCGAATCAGATCATATATGTATCGATGTATACACTTCGGTGCATAGGAAAGGATATTGCAAGATCAGATGTTGCAAAAACGGGTGGTGTAACTACCAAAATTAGGATGCGACAAACACAGATCGCATTTGTTCAGCAAAACGGACTAAATTTACCAACAAACAGCTATTCGCATGCATGTGCGTCAAAAGATGCTCCTACCTCAGAATCCCAAGTGCTGTGTTTTGAACTGGACACCCCAGCGGGGCTATATACGCAAAGGTGAAGCGCCCACGCTGGGTGTGTCGCTGGCAAGGCTTGATCAACCAGATTACCCTGTTGATTTTTAGAGCAGAAGTACCATAGTACCAGACTTGCCTTCACAGCAGTACCATCTAGACTTTCACTCCCAAGTATCAACATACATTATTAATCATTCTTACATAGATTCTTCAGCTTCGCTGCCCATTCCTGGAGTTCCATGATACCTCCGACCTATCAGGTACAAAATGAATGGGCGCAACATATGATAGCTATTGATAGCTGATTTAGACTGTCAAGGAGACTGGGAGATCCATTTGTTCATCTTCCCAGCATGCCCCACCTATCAATGGTTAAATCATTTGGTAAACATTCCCACATATTCCCACTATAGAAAGCCCATGTTCATCAAGCAAACTTATTAACAATTGGGTTCCTCATATCTCCACATTTCACCTGACTTGCGACATATCGCTCAGCATGTCGTCCTCCACTGGCCTGGCCTAGGCCAGCAGCGGACTTGCCTGCCATAGAAAGCGCCGTGCCGCAGATGAATCTGCGAGTTCAGGCAGCGCAATTGGGTTGCTTGCCGTTGGCTTACAGGAAAACTGCGAAATGCATCGAAATGCGATATTCATCGATATTCATGGTTTGCTTTTTGGAATTTCACGGGAAAACTGTGATGCATAAAAAGAAAGGTTACAGGGATATAGGAGTCAAATGTTTGCTTGTCCACTGAGATGGATCATCGAGAATGACCGCCCAAGCAATTCCAAAGGACACCCATTGGGAATAGCCATGTCAGTGGGGTGCACCGACGTCGGCTGGTTGTTTCGTTTCCTTTCAGTACCTGGTTGCATACATCCATTCAATGTTGTAATGTACTGCGTATTCCTTATGTACAGCATGTACATCCATTATCCTAGAGTAGATCTCCCCAACTTTCACTTTTTGAATGGTAGTATCTATTGGAAATGGATGGAAATGGTTTTAACAAAGTTCTATCTACTTAAGAGTGGGCTTACATATGAATCTGACACACAAGCAGACACTGTAGTATAGTTACGTACCTTAATGTATTTAGTATAATTTGCATTGCGTGTATATATACATATATACAATTACATATGCAATGATATATGATTCCCTGTATTGTCAATAAAACTTATGGATTAGTTATATATATATATATATATATCAGTATTACTAACCAGTATGTACATATTATTATCAGATATTACATATCAGTATGTATACATATATATATATATATCTATATGATTGTACTCTATATACACAGATATGAGATATATCTGGAAGCCACGTGACATGACGACACCCATCCCTCCATTGCCCAGGCCCGGCAGCTCAGTGGTCCCTTCACCTCCGGCGCCTTGTCGGCGTGCTTCGTTGGGGCCCGAGCTTTGTTGGGGCCTGGACCTGGACATCAACGTCCCTGCTGGGAGTTTGGGATGGAAATCATGGAATCATAGAATTGGATGGGAAAATTTTAACCGGAAACCTATGGAAACCTCTATATTTGATGGTAAAAACCCATGGGTTTCCGGTTAAGATTGTCCCTTAAACCAATCTATTGATGGAAGGAATTTGAAGCCCAAAACATGTCATGTTCATCAGTAAACATAGGGAATGTTCATGGATTTTAGCCAGTATCAGTAAACTCGATTGAAGGGCTCTCGTCGGACTGGGGGAAACCTTTGGGTCTGAAAATAAGGTGTTCAAAATCATTGGTTGATCATGGTTGATGACCATGTTCTCAATTAAATTGCAATGTGGGATTTATTATACTATTTTATACCACATGTTCAGACAGAACCATTTAAGTTCTGTTGCTGGATATTGGTTGTGCCTCCCATTTTGCAAGATGAATCTGCTGAGCTGACTACCATCGGCCGATGCGAGTGATTAGATGTTCCTCAAATTTCCTCAACTCACAAGTCTTGAGATTTCCGGATAAAACCAGCAAAAATCGGGATTGAGCAACAAACCATCATATTGGTTTCGCCATGTTACACCAACTGGATGGCCAATCGGCTCATGTCACGCCCCCAATTTTCGGGGGGGAAGCACAGGATGCGGCGAATCGAAAGCCCTGGTGGTGGTCCTATGACTTCTTCCTGAAGGTGAATTGCTGGGGGGATGGGGGTGACACCGAAGTGGGGGTGACCTGAGTTGGGTCAGTTGGGCAGTGTTTTTGCGACAACTCTGCTTATCTCCATGGGAAAGCAGCAGAAAGTATCGTCAAATATGTGTTCCCTATAATGGCTGCTATCATTTTTGCGGTTTGAGCCTTGTTTTGGAAGCCCTAAGTTCGTAGGTTTTTTTTAACTCAGAAAACCTTGGATTGGATTTCGATTTCGGGATGGTGCTGTCAATGGTGTTGCCATTTTGCTGACCTGTATCCAGATGGTTTTCGCCGGGAGTTGATGGGTTCTCCCCACAAAGTGGTCGGGGTTTGTACTGGGGATGTGGGCAGAAATTTGGATTTCTGTATGGAAGATAGTACTTAATGATCTTAGTGTAATTACTGCTAGCCAAGACTGCTGAGATTTGTTTGCCTGACTTGGTGGAGTCAATATTGAATTTGCCCCACTGCAACGCAATGTTGAAGAGAAACAGGTTCACAGGAACGGAACCACAAAAAGTATCAAAAAAGTGACACTGTCCATATTTTTTCTCCAGCTTTTTCTCTTCTGTTTCCAGCACGAAAAAAAAAAGAAAAGAACAAAAGACCTGTTATTTTTGTTGGCAGGATGAACACCTATCCCATCCAACTAAGTAATTAGTTTGATCTGAAAATCAGGACCCTTTTCGCCGCAGGTCATGGCCGGATGTCTTGTTTGGGAACTCGGTCGGTTGTTGTGTTCAGCTTGGAACCCATATGGGAAAACCTTAAGGATGGCTTTAGTTTGATATTTGGATATATCTGGATTCCTATCCAAAAATCGATGTTTTTTTTTAATGTACAATGTAGTACACAAATGTGAATGTCTTGGATAATTATCTAAGGTTTGTAGTGATATGAACCCAAGAATGATGATATTTTTGTGATCATTTCGGATTCAAGAATCATGTTCCACCCCATGATGTGCATGAAACATCCAGGTCCAGGTCGTTAGGACGTGAAACGGTCCTTTTTAGTTGGGGGGGTACCGAGGTACCGACATTTTCAACATGGCAATGGAGATTCCTCCACTTGTAGATGATGTATATCAGGACTTGTTCTATAGCGATTCGGGTGGCCTATACATGCAATGGGTATCTGATATCTGGGTATCTTTTGTCTTACCAAGATAGTTGATACCTGTAGCGCAGGATCTGAGGCTGTGCGAATGCTTTGGGAATGGCTTGTGTTTTTAAGGCATCAGTTTGCTCATCCCACTCCAAAGCCAACCTTTTGAAAGGCCAACTCAGGTCATTGATGTTATAATTTATACTATTATATATATATATTATATATTATATATATATCTATTATATATATATCTATATATTAGTATCTTTTCAAGTTGGTGTAATGTTGGTGTAGCACACGCTTGAGACGTAAGGACATTGAAATCTTGAAATATTGGTGCGGTTTCAGGTGGCGCTGGCACCTGAAACCTCCATCGAAAGGCGGTGGGAAAACTTCTCCATCTGGTTATGACTAACATATGGAAAGATCCACCATGTTTAATAGGTAAACCCAGGTAAACTCATCTATTTCTATGGGCCATCTATACCATGGCTATGTTAGTCATAACCAGAGGGTATCTGGAAATCTGGCGTATTTTCACATGAATAGATTCAGAAAAGCTGGATGAAGGCATGAAATTTGGCAGGGAAATATATGGACATATCTCGAAATCTTGAAAGTTGGTGAAAGGCTGCTGAATGGATTCATGTTGGACCAGAACTTTCTATGGTACTTCAAAATATGGCTATGGGTGATGGTCAACACCAGATCCCAAGGTGGCCCAGATCCTGAGACAGCATGAAGGGCCTGATGGCCACCAAGCCCGACTTGGTGACGGGAATTTGCCTGGAAAACCCATGATTTTATATATTTATCTTGTTGTTTCTTGTTTGGATTCACTAGAAATCTAAAATAGGTTTTTATCCGATTGAAGTGTAAATCTCGAATGGATGTCCTGGATTTCCGAACCACATCGAGAACGGGGAGTTTTTCATCTCGAAGGCACGTGCTGCGAATCGCGTGGCTCGCCTTCATGACGCTCAAAGCCATGGGGGCTTGGAATCCCAGGGCTCAGCAGGATTATCTCCAGATGGCCATGTGGGTAAAACAATGTCATGTTTACCATGACTGGGAATGGTAAACATACCGTAGCTATAAAAATAAGGTGATGACTGGGCTTAGTAATGGCTTAGTAACAAGGCTTAGTGTATCTTTATGTAAGGTGATGTAACATTATGTAACATGATCTAAGATGATGTCACCAATTTCACACACCTGCGGAAGCCAAGAAAAACAATGAGGATCAACCCCTGGTGAAGCACTCGGCTGGGGTGTAATTACACCTCAGAGGATCTAACATCCCTTTGGACAAGATGTTGGCAATGATCCATTGGACAATGTTCACCCTTATTACTGTCCCCAAGTTCTATTTGGGTCATGACACTTATTAAATCTTATGATTTTTACCTGAGTCATGTAAGTTTGGTATGAACTATTAGTTCCCTACACAACATGTGCCCCTTTTGCCAAATCGCAACAAATTGCCATAGATCAGAAGCACCCCCCAAAAATATGGAGTCCACAGCCGCCACGATTTCCGCTTTGCAGGTCACCTACACCTGGCCCCACGCACATTGGACGGAAAATCTGGTGGCCATTTCGGCTGCTTGGGTCCTACCTGGTGGCACTGCCTTCTATCTCTACGGCAATGAGGTGGAGGGGGGCTGAGCACGAATTTGGATTGAGTCACTGTTCATGGAATTTGTGGGATTTTGCTAAAATTATGACGCCAAAATAATCTGATAATGGTTGAATAATATTGAATAATAAGATTATATCAGATGAATACTAAGATTGGTGACATGCATCAATATAAGGTTATTGCACATCTGACCACATAATTTGAATACTGGAATACTGGACGACTTAAATGTGGTCAATTCATGGGGATCCCGATGGGTCAACATGTCATCCAGATATCTCTGGGTATCGTTTGTTCAGCTCAACGAGATGCTGGCTCTCTCTCACTCTCAATTTCACAAACTTCACAAAAACATCACCAAGGCTGTTCTGAAATTCCCTTCACCTAGTTGGTGGTGTCAAATATGTGTTATGTTCTATTCCAATTTGGACTTATGATCCCCAAGCGACAATGATATGCTTCAGGGGGATTCAGAGCCACATGGTTTGAGCAATCGAAATTGAAGTCAACCAAAGGATGATTCGCATTGTTTGAATGTTCCGTCTCTTTTCTCCATCAAATGGATCTATCTCTCTCTCTCTCTATGTCTCTCTACGTATCTTACAGGTGCTTGCAAAAAGTCTCTTTCAAAATTGTCTTATAGGATTTTTTTTGCAACAGTGTCTCTCGAAAGTTTCCCGCGCAGGTATCTGACAGCAGAGATTCACAAGAGTCTCTTCCAATATATATACATATATATACCCATAGGATCCATGTATGCCATATATGGTAACATTTGGGGTATATTGATGGTAAATGTTACCATATATGGCATACATGGATCCTATGGGATATAATATAGTGTCTCGCAAGAGTGTCTCACAGGAGCGTCTCGGAATCGTGTCTCCTAAGAATGTCTCCCAAATACTCCCAAGAGTCATCCGACTCCCCACGACATCCTCACGACAGCTCCTGTGCTGCTAATATACATATCAAAAGACAGAGACATATGTGACATATGTTCATAATATTTCACAATATTAATAAAATATATTATGCTTGTATTTTTGCATCTCATATGTGTATATATATAATTATATATATACCCTCTGGTAAACTAACATAGCTATGGAAAATCACCATTTTTAATGGGAAAATCCACTATAAATGGCCATTTTCAATAGCCATGTTAAATTACCAGAGAATATATAAATATACATCCGTAAATTCATATGCCAACATTCATATGCCAGTTGATGGAGCATCGTGAAAAAGCGGTGCTGGCGCTTCTGACCTTGGCGTCTGTAGCCCCAGTGGCAGGTTGTACAAGAAATGGGTGCACAACTGGGTGAAGGAAATATTTAAACATGTTTAAACATTTCGAAATATTGAATGATATTGAATGTTATAACATGTATTCTGAATATACACCCGCTGTAAATTTGGATTATATCACCTACATGCAACTGCGGGTCGCTTTCCCCCGTTCGAACGGCTTCACGCCACTTGATATTGAATGTCAGGAGAACCATCAATATGACAAGCTTGAACCAGTTATTGTGTTTTTCTAGATTTTAGATGTATACCTCCCCATATCTACCCACTTTTTTTTTGCCTCAAAATGTCGGTATTTGTTACGACACATTTGTTTGTTTTCAGGTGCTTTGAAGGTTCAAACTATTGAAGGCGTAAGAGAATCCACTTTCAACCGGTATTTGAGCACAGAGATCAATGTTGTGGATGAGGCTGCCACAATAAGATCCATTGTTGACATCTTTATTCTTCGTCCTTCCGGAAGAGAAGCATCAGAAGGATTCAACGTTCTATGATTTGCCCAGCAATTTGGATGGTTGGCGATGTTTGCTTGTTTTTTGCCATGAATTTATCACCAAACCCGTTTTGGATCTAAGTGTTGCGCCAACACCCCGCCTGACTCGCCACCGGGGCCACCGCGGAGGTATCTTCCAACTGTTCTGGCGCTGGTGGTTTGCCTCTATTCCTTAAAGATCACCAAAGATCAGGACCAGCAGATGTCGTTTTCCTGGTGAATTGTCATAGGGTTTATCCTACTTGATGATCCGTGGCGGTTCCCAGGTTTTTCAAAATGGACATTGGGTGAGGCTGGAAGTGTGGTTGGTTGTGTTGAATGCCACCTGACTGAGAAAAACTGGAAGGGCAACATTGTTTTAGGTTAGTGTGCCAGAGAGGTAACAATAACTGGTCGACAGCTGGTGCTTTGAAGCTTTTTTTCCTGTACCGTACCGGGCACAACCATTTTTTCACAGAACTTGTGTCCTTGGAATCCTTTGGCTACGGTAGCGGTTGCTCACTTCCAGAGGATTGTTCAATTCTACTTTGTGAAAACGTAGTTGTGACTGATTACAGTTCACAATCTGGGGACTGACTATGTGCCTATCTACAAGTGATAGTCCTATGATACTTGATCAAGGATCCCCTTTCCCTGAGTTTTGTACTGGGCCAACTGCGGCACCTAAGCACCAAACACGCACTCTCTTGCTTATATTGTATATGTAACATCCAGACCTGCAAAGAACCATATGCTGAAAACGTATGATTGTGTTTCACACTAAGAACACATGCCAAGTAGACATAGATGTAGATAGATGAATAAATGGATGTCTATATTATATAAGACGTGGTCTACACGCAGGCTATCCTGCGTCAGATGAACAATATGATTCAACATTCCGATTGCATGGTGCTGCCATCCGCAACTCATCCTCAAATGGATCCAATAAAAAAAAACATGTTGAAACAGGATGTGTTGTTATTTTTAACAATTTTATCCAATGTCCCCGGGTACAATTCACCTCGAAGCCATCCGCAAATGTTTAAGGGTCAGCGGTTAGTCCTCAACCCTGATGGATGGTATGTCCCCATGATCCCTGATGTTTCTTGGCAAAATCCTTTTTTTTTGCCACAAACCCAAACATCAAGAATTACTTTAATATGTTTGACATAGCACCCACGATTTTTTTTCACCAAAATTGTCACTCTCATCGAAGCAGCTTCACTACATCACGATTAGGCAGGAAGGACCATGTACAACACATATCCCAAATGTCGGCGAAAGTGCCCATTGTGGATGATTAGGTCGCCATGTTTGCTGAAAATCCATTCATCGCTGCTTAAACTCGTGGTGTTGAGATTATCCTCTGAAGTTACTGTTTAGAGGTTCAAAGACAAACCAGTTGACATAAAACTGACAAATGGATCAGAAAAAAACAAAACACAAGCATAAACATATTCACATCATTAACTTTGTTCATTTATAATCCAGATTACGATGTTTTTGTCGCAACCACTTAAAATGGGGGATTCCCAATAAACCATTGGTTTCAATACTCAGTCATGGCCAAATGATTTCGTTGATTTGCGGTACCCCCATTGTATATATCATAATACTTTTCATTGTACATTTTTTTAAATCTCCTATCATAGTTTCAATACTAAATAGTATTCACAGCCTCCATTTGCTTGCTATTTTCTATATATATATATATGTACATATACATATATATATATATACATATTCTCATAATGTCATAATAATCGGTATGGAATTACTCCAATAGACTATGATAGATGTCATCAATATCAATTTCATATGTCCAATCTAAGTCCCATCGACATCAACGCGAATCGTCAGGATCTTCCTGAGCATGTGATTGGATGGGGCAAGCTGTCCGGCAACAGGTGGGACAAGTCCAGGAGCTAGGCGCTAAACGTAACTGAATGGTTAAGCTACCAAATTTGGGACTTAGAAAATTGGAACTTTCGCCTTCAAGGATATGGATGGTTAGAACTGTTAGAAGTTGAAGCTAGGCTTTGGACCAAGATAAATTGAAGTTGTTTGCCCACTCCAGCGATTAAGACCATATCAACTATAGCAAAATATTATACCAATCACCCAATGATAGATCCCCAGAACATGTCCAGCTTGGCAGGCTGGGATATGAGCGCTTGAGTTTGGATGAGGCGCATCGTCAGCAGAGTTTGACTGCTGGGCTGGTGACTCGCGGCATTGCTGCAACGTCACTGGGCACTTCTGTCTACCTTCCGATAATAGGACATAGTTATACACAACATATACATTAGTTATATATAATATGTACATAACTACGAAAAAATGGCCCAGTTAGAGATGATTTACCTGTTAAACATGTTGATTTTCCAGAGGGTAAAGTAGCATCCGCTGGTTTTGGACGTCTTGCAATTTCGCAAAACCTCGGCACGTGAGTAGCACATGTTAGCTTCAGAAATAATTGTGTTGGCCATATAGTATTGGAACAAGGTGAGTTTTTGTGAGCATTAAGGATGGCCATGTTTCCACGGGATGTTTTTTTTGGGGTTCCAGGCGATTCCTGGCCCGCAAAAAGTTGGATCTTCCATGGGTCTGTGGGAGTTGTTTCAGGTGATTGTCAGGCTCCACAGGGAGTTCCGTAGTTCCAACAGGGTCTTTTCAATGAACTCCTCATGCCTTCTTGTCACTCCAGTTCCACTAGTGTTTGTAGGGTTTCAACATCACATTCCAGGAGGCTTTCAAGTCAAAGAGAAACACTGCGAGGTTCCCAAGCTAATCCATAGGTCAAAGTTGGATAATTCAGAGAGGATGATTTGCGAGGAAAAGTTGCGGAGTTCATTTGTAGTCCCCACTCGGCCGAAGATGTTGATCCCATGCACTTGGATGTGGAATCCTTTGGCCGGATTTGGCTAGTAATCATGGAAGTAAACTCTGACATATATGGATATCTGGTTGGTAGTTTGGAACATGAATGTTATTTTTCCATATATTGGGAAGTTCATCATCCCAACTGACGAACTCATATTTTTCAGATGGGTAGGTTGAAACCACCAACCAGATATACATATATATATATATAATTGTATATATATATATACTCAGATAATTTCAGATAATCTCAGATATATATATATATAGGTAGGATATATATATATATGGATAGATATGGGATGTCCATTGATTTCACTTGATTTGATTCTTGGATTCCAACCTGAGTTCCCCTCAGACAACGACCTCAGCTGCTCGCTAGCCGCGCCAGGATGACAGTCCGGGGAACGTCAATCCGGAGGTCGGGTCGTTTTGGGGCTGCCGGCCATGGAAAATCACCATGTTTCATGGGGATTTATCGAAGTAAACTGGCTATCTAATCACCATAGCCATGTTGGATTACCACAGGATACTTGCGACATCTTGCGACCATGTTTGGGAGGAATATCATGCTGTCGACTGAAAATCAGCTATCTTAGGTTTGCCATGGGGTGATGTCACCGACCGTGATGGCTGGTAATTTTCCAGTTGGGATGGTCTCAGGATGTCTCAGGCACACCCCAAGAGTGATAACTGGCCCGCCTCGTCCTTTTCTTGTCGTCAAAAAACACATGGAGGAGGCTTTTGACCCGCATTACACACAAACTTCTGCAAGTAACCTACCAATTGCATCATCCAATTGCTCATTTCCGCCAAGTCTTGTGGAAAAGCAACATGTATGTTGAAACTTGAAGCAGCTTTTTTGCTTGTTCCTCAAGTCCTTTAAATGGTGAAAGAAAGCTAAGCACATCTCTGGCTAAACCTCACTTGAGTAGCTCAAATGTTTTTCTAATCATATATATATTAGATTAGAGTAGAGTAGAGCAGATTATATAGATAGATTAGAGTAGAGTAGATTAGATAGAGTAGAGTAGAGTAGAGTAGAGTAGAGTAGATTAGATAGATTAGATTAGAGTAGATGAGTTTTGATTAGGTTATATAGATTCGATGAGATAGATAGAGCCTGCCAAAATTTCTTCGGCATTTTGTTGGCGCCAAGGCCGTTGATATCCACCTGGCAGATGCCGTGTTGGTGGCCTCGGAAGGTTCCAAGGTGCCAGCATTGCCAGCGGGACCGTTGGGACGTGGCGACGTGGCTTGATGGCACGGGAGATATGTTTATAGATAACCATTAATGGCACCATTAATAGCCAGTAGGATTATAGGATGAATGGTTATATCAGTTATAATTATCTCCAATATATCCATTAACGTTTATAGATGTTTATAGATGTTTGTAGGATTGATGGAAAAATTGCCCCCTAAACTTCAGAAAATAAGGTCCCGAACATTGCTAAATCCCTTGCGAAACCACGGTTTCTTGGCGGTGTTTCACTTTTGGGGGATTCATTCTGACCCGCTCGAGATTCTGACCCGTCGTTATCTTCGATTTGCCGATAGTGTTTATTTCCCCACTGATCAATCATGGTTGGTTACACCATCATTGCATCGGTATTGGGTCTAGTATGATGATGGTATGCGGATAAACTTCGGATAAACGTGGTACTAGTATGATAATGGAATGAATATTGGGATATGCAAGATAATTGGAATTGCTGAATTTCTTGTTTTCCCATTGGTTAATCATGATTAATCTACCATGACTGAGGAATCTATTCAGAGTATGAATTGACTTTGAAGGCTCATGGTGGCTCCTTTAAGCAAATCCAGATGATTACATCATTGTGTCCGCCACTCATATGATGGCCTTATTCTGTGGTTAATCCTTGTTTGGGTCGTTAATTGGCTCTCTTGTGGCTGGCAATTTTGAAGAGGGTCTGCACTACCCTCTGGTAAACTAACATAACTATGGAAAATCACCATTTTCAATGGGAAAACTCACTATAAATGACCATTTTCAATAGCTATGTTAAATTACCAGAGGGTACCCATCATTAAAAGAACCAGTGCTAGTGTATTGTGTGTATCACGTCGTTCGATTACCATCTGGGATAGCCTGCAGTGGACAATGCCTTTCATGCAGGAAGAGAATCCATACACAGGTGATTTTCCGTTGAATCAAACATGGCAATGCAAAACCCGCAAGACCCTCTGGTTGTTTAACATATAGCAAAAATGGACCATATAGAAACAGATGATTTTCCCAGCAAAGCTCCATTTATTCCATATTGTTAGATAACCAGATGGTGCAGTTGATTTTCCCAGCTATAAACATCCATTTAGGCCACAGGGACCAGCCCTGGGGCTAGCTGACCCACCTCCTTGTCGCCATAGGTGCCGCGGATACGACTGCCCTGCGAGGTGAGAGATGTCACGATGGAGTCATGGTGCGAATTTGTGTCTACCCATGGATGAACAGTGAACCAACAAGAAATGGTTGGATGGCTTACAATTTCATACAATCTTTTATATTGGAACATCAAATTGAATAATGAAATTAATGACAAGTCACTGGATTCTTACATTTTTCTCCAATAAAGAGTCTTATGCTTCCGCTTTAGGTTCTGGGTATAATCCATTAGTAAACCACCAGCCCAAGCACCACTCAACCATTGGTTGAAACATGCGACGTCATGTGACGTCATATTTTTTTTTAAAAAAAAGTGCTGATGAGTATAGAATTATTGGACTTTCACCCAACAAACATGGGTCGTTTTCCAATAGGAACAGTACTCAACCATGGGGATATTCCGGTCAACCGTAGGGATATTCCCTACAGCTCATAGATTGCACGTTGGTATTCTAACATAACCTGATTGGTGGTTTGGAACATTTTTTCCCATATATTGGGAATAATCATCTCAACTTACTTTCATATTTTTCAGAAGGGGTTGAAACCACCAACCAGTAACAAAGGAGCATCACCATGCTTAGTAGGCAATTCTGCGTTTCAGATGGGGGGACTTCCAGCACGTGTTTGATGACCAGAGGTGCTCATCTAGATAATTTTAAGCAAGACACGATTATACATGATTGATATAAATTATGAAAGCTGAACATTTCATAAACTCGCATTTATTATAATACTGTTTCTATTACGTTGTAATGGAGTAATAGAGTAATAGAGTAATGCATGTTAATCACAGCTGATATTTTGAATATATGTTTGATGTAGTGGTTGCTCATGTCAATGCCCGTATTTTTGCCGCAGGTGAAACTGCCTTTGCGACCCATGTTTGGGGCTCAACATCAGGTGATGGGATTCACCATGGGGATACAATCAATGGGAATGGGCATATAACCAGTGATGATCTGATTGATTGTATTGGTGGTATATAACCAAGTTTGATGGGTATATAACCAATTTTGATGGGTATATAACCAATGATGATAACCAATACAGGGTGGTTTCTTAAACATGTCTCATTACCACAGAAAAAAAGGGGATGATGATCCTCACAGAGGATGTTGCGGTGGGGATTGATCAATGATGCTGCAGGTTGTTCGATCACGATAGTCTTTGAATTAACCTCTGGTTATTGAACATAGTCATGGTATAGATGGCCCATTTATAGATGGTTTACCTATTGGAAATGGTGATTCTAACATAACCTGGTTGATGGTTTGGAACATGTTTTCCCATATATTGGGAATAATCCTCCCAACTGACGAACTCATATTTTTCAGAGGGGTAGGTATACCACCAATCAGGAACATATCAAGTCATGATTTGACTTCAAATGACAAGAACACCCTACTGACGGACCTTTGACACGCGAGGCATGTGAAGTCTTCTAAGAATGGGAAACAATACAACTTGCACAGCGACTCTACGGGGGCTTCACCATAAATCCTGGTTGAATGGGGGAGTCATCACAAAATCGGCTCGTTTATAATTTTTGGAGATTTTCAGAATTTGTTCAGATGATCAGCAATGCATGTCAAGACTGTATAAGCCTGATGAGCATCGTTTAAAGACACTTGTCATCTCTGTATCCCAGATAAACATAAATAAATCAAGTAGTCCCCATAACAAGTAATTAGTTAAAAAGGATTTGGTCCCTGCTCATATGGATGTGTGCAGTGGGGCTGTCCAAGAAGGTTTCTGAAATATAGCTAAGTGATGGATTGTGCTTGCATTGCAAAAAGAATAAAGCATTTGTTGGTCAATCGAAGCCAAGAATTGACTTCAAGGAGTATCCGCAGTTTGCCAAAGTGCAGCGAGAAACCCAAAATTACCATAGTCAATGTTGTCAAAGTTTCGTATTTGGTTGAAATACCCTCTTCGGGTAATCTAAACTGGCAACGCAAAATCACCCCTTGAGACCGATATTTTTCTCATTAAAATACTAAAGGGTAAGTTACCATCCTATATATATATATTTTTGGTTATATAAGTTATATATATATATATATCCCATTCTATCCACATTAAATCCCATCAAATCCCATTAAATCCCTTTAACGCCTCCATTTATAGGGGATTTTCCCAACAAAAAAACCTTCGTTTCATCCCATTCAATCACCTTGGCAGTTGATGGATGCGACTGAGGCATCTGTGGATGAAGGGCGCCATCGCCGTTAGCAGCTCCCTCACAGATCGCCGGGCTCACCCAGTGCGTGAGATTTCTATTGCGACAATGAATGGATAATAAGTATACCCTCTGGTAAACTAACATAACTATGGAAAATCATCATTTTTAATGGGAAAATCCACTATAATCATCTGGTTGGTGGTATAGATGGCCCATAGAAATAGATGGTTTACCTATTGGAAATGGTGATTCTATGTGATTCTAACATAACCTGGTTGGTGGTTTGGAACATGAATTTTATGACTTTCCATATATTGGGAATGTCATCATCCCAACTGACGAACTCATATTTTTCAGAGGGGTTGAAACCACCAACCAGTCATCATATTAGATTATGCATTGTTATATACAATTATAGTCATAGATGGATTATCTCTATTGGTTATAATCGTAGATGTCATCATGATTAATAATGACTATGGGATCCATATTGATGATGACAATCTATAACAATCTATACCCCCAAATCATCCAGTTGTCATGGATGACCATGGTACCCGGTAAACAACCATGGTGACGACTGGGGGTGCCATGACTTAAGAATGGTGACGACTGGTTTCTGTGAACATCCAGGATGGCCGACTCACTCTGGGGATCCAACGTTCATAGGATGGTTTTATCAATGGATTCATAATGGATTATTAATGGATATTAATGGATATCAATGGATGTTAATGGATTATTAATGGATATTAATGGATATTAATGGATTATCAATGGATCTTAGCCAGGATGGTTTTATGAGCGATTGAATTCACTTGAAAAAGCTGCCAGAAAACACCAATGATTTGCGGCATGAAAGCCGCTGCACAGCCACGCACTGATGATAGATTAGGGATGATTAGGGTAGAGCACAGATTTCGCTTAGAAACAGAGAATTAAGGAAAAGAAAATCAATCCGTAGTTTGGTTTGAGCCATAGGTTACAGTGTTACAGTACCCTCCGACAACACTTCCCAGTGGCAACGGGACATCTTTAAGCAATGACCATTGAGTCGAAAGTCTGCGTCAAAAATAGGTGGTCGGCAGTTGTTGATTTTTGTGATGACTACAACTACCCTATCAAGATGATGAGTCATGAATGGTCATGAGATGTTTGGGGTCGAAAGATTTGCAGAGAAGATTGGCAATGATCGGTAGTCACTGGTCGGCAAAGTTGATGATCGCTACAGCTTTCGGGAAATGAATCTACAGATGCTGTAAAACCTACCCTCTGGTAAACGTTTACATAGCTATTGAAAATGGCCCAGTCGAAATAGTGAGTTTTCCCATTAATAGCTATTGAAAATGGCTATTTATAGTGGATTTACCTTCCATCGTTTTTTGTTAACGTTTACCAGGCCGGGTACTGATCAAAGGTGATCAGCAGCTGAATTCATGGCCTGATTTCCACCATTTTCCACCGTGTCCCGGATGCCGAAGGTCAACCGCAGGTTGCAGTGCCGGCTGAACTTCTCTTAGGGTCACTTGGCATATGAAAACCCAGTGGCCTGAATCCAAAAACCCTGTTTTTTGATTAATTATAGCGGGGGGGTTCTACTGGCTAGTTGAGTGGAGGATTATTGTTCATTATGGGAATCCCTATCAAACAACAGAACCAATCCGCAGGTTTTTGACGATGATTCCAATGATTATGTTTGGGGAGGTATATATATATATTTAATAAACAATTATGCATTGTGCTTGGGGAGGTACCCTCTGGTTATGACTAACAGTTCGCCATGGTTTTTTGATGGCCCTAATCGAAATAGATGGTTCACCTATGAAAAATGGTGGATCTTTCCATGGCAAACTGTTAGTCATAACCAGATGGTACCAATAAAACCTGGAATCACCACAGCCGCCGGCTCACAGCCACCTGAAAAGATCGTTAATTTGACGAAAAAAAACGAGAAGCCAATGACCCGAAGTAATACCAATTACGAACTGTTGAGATATGTTTTTTCATGTATGTTGGCTTCACTTGTAAGATACATTAAGATACTAGTCAGACATCGATGGACGATATAAATCGATATAATGTTGATCCTTATTCCATGGGAAAATCCTCCCAAGTCACTTGATCTTTGTCACAGCCAGCCTTTCCGAGGCGCCTCACAGGCGCCGAAAATCCTTGGGCCACGGTGTCGCGGGGCCCAAGGTTCAGCGATGGAGCATGATGGAGGAATGTTTGAAATCCCAGGAAAAATATATGCAGTCAATACATAACATACAGTATCATAACATATATATATATATCTTGTCTGCAACGCAATGTTAACATATATATATATCTATCTACATTGTCAATATGTATGGAGGAACGATTCAATATTTCATATATATATACATAATGACAAGCAAATCTACTCCCCAAATCTCCCCAATGGCAAAAAGCATGGTTTTTCGCAGGTGAACTGCTTTGCCCGATGCATCACTCCCCATCTGGTTTTCTGGCAAAGCCTTTCTCCACGGGGTATCTACTTAGAAAACTTGCTGGGAAGGCATCCCATTTCTGGGACCCCAAATCCAAGTTTAGGATATGTTTTTGAAGGAGAAACATGTAGCTTAAACTTACAGATAATTAAAGAAGGTCTGGATAGCCTTTCAGATAACTTTAGTTGATCCAAAGGGTCCAGCCTGGCATTTTTTGTTAAGAGCCAACGATCAGCTGGTTTAATGGTCTCATCAAGATTTGCCGAGTTTTCTCTGTTATGGCATGGTAGTGGTTGGCCTGCAGAATCCTTTGGGCCTGTTGCGCAATTTTCCACAGCAAGTGGTTGGGTTTTATGCATGATTAGGACCTAATTAGGACCTTGGCTAATAATTCGAACCATATCCGCCATAACCTTCACGAATCCAGAATTCATCCGGTCATAAGGCCATCCAGGGTTGAAACCTCAACTTGGCAGCTGAGGCTGACCCCTGAGGGCGGCTTGCTCTTGTACCGGGACCAGGCAACGAATGTTTGCAGTGTGGACTCCGAGTCTATCCATTGGTTGGTCTATCCATGTCTATCCCATTGCCACAACTTCCCGTGATATCTCAGTTATTTTCTGGAAGAACATATCAATATCCTATAATATCCTGGTACTTTGGTCGGAAAACTGGGAGTTGTCCATCACTTCTATTCTGGTGGGAAGAACGACTAGATATTTGGCGTTAAATCATGTTAAATCCACATATGTTTTGGTTCAAAATCTGTTTGTGCTGGCCAAATCGCCTCAATTGATAGCCTGATAGCACAATATACCCTCTGGTTATTTGACATAGTCATGGAAAGATCCACCATTGTTAATAGGTAAACCATCTATTTCTATGGGCCATCTATACCAAGGCTATGTTAGTCATAACCAGAGGGTATCTGTTTCTGTGAGTTTTCCATGGCTACCGGATCCCCGCCGTGACAGGAGACAAATGGTGGGCTAAAGTGGCAGGAGGCGAGTTTTGCCCAGCACCGGTTGTGGCTAATGCAGGTAGAACATGTGATATCGATGGCTGTTGGTGATAGTGATTCATTTCTATTGGTCGGAAGTGATCAGTTTTTTAATTGACGTGGATTTCGACCGGGGGTCCAGCTGGAAAAAAAATGGCAGTATCCATTTGGTACAACTTGTAGAAAGAGCCTTGACATGCCTTGACACAAGGTCTTGACGCTGCCATGGTTTAAGTGATTGATGTTGGTAGAGTTTCCGTTGTATTCCCAGATCACACACTGTGCTGTAGACTATGTTTTATTTATCCAAAACAAAACAGATCAGGTGTAGGTAAGTTGTCCACGGCCCATGATTCAACAATTTGTTTGTGCAGAAATTCAATAATGCAAAAACACCCCATACATTGGTGCAAATATATCATTATATATCATTATATATCCGTATGTATATATATATATATGTAATATATATATATATGTATTATATATATATGTATATCCATATATATATATATTTACAATATGTATATATATATATCCCATAAACGATCCCCATATCCTCATTGTATCCCCATATTTCTTTCCTTTTTTGGGGGCAGGTCTTGAGGCATTTCCTGCGTGGCCAAAACGCTTTGCTGCGTGAAGCGGAGCGTGTGCTCCAGGAGGATCGGGCATGGGTCAGAACCTATGAAGTTTCCATATGACTGGGGAATAAACATCCATTACCCTCTGGTTATGTCAACGTAGCTATTGAACATGACCATAGAAATAGTGGATTCTCCCATTAAAAATGATGATTTTCCATAGTTATGTAAACGTTTACCAGAGGGTAACTATAGCTATTTTAAGGTACCATGAGAGTACCTAGGGTTTTGACCCAGAACATCCCAGAACCAAATGATGAAAATTCAACGTTTTGATGGTTGCAATCTCGATTTTTGGGTGGTAAACCCTGATGTTTGGACATGAACCTCTTGAATTTCTGGCTAAACTTTTTTTAGTGGCTAACATTGTTGACAATTCGCGTGTTTGGATGATTCCGGCCTGGTTTCTGGTGGCTCTAACCTTCAATTTCTGGTGTTTGAAATCCCAACTTTCTTCGAACCGAACTGTTGGGTCTGAGGCAACAGAAAAATGACGACCGTAAGGCATGATATGAAAATGGGTTTGTATGGGTTTCTAAGAATTCGAGCCATTATGACCGATCCTCAGTACGTTGTAAGATTGTCAGAGGTTGATTGATATGGGTGTTGAGCTCACAGCGTGAGCTGTTTTAGGTCAACATCTCCACTTCCCCTCCTTGCCCAGCCACTAGTTGGTGGCTTCAAATACTGTATAAAGATATGGCAGTGTGTCAAAACCTTGTATCCCTGGTGAACATCAAAATAGCTGGTAAATGGATGTTCATCCCACTAAAAATGGTATTAATAGGTATTGATCCATACCCATATAAAGTATGCTCTGCTTTGTTCTACAACTGTAAAATGCTATGATGATCCATTCCTCTCCGTCTCTGACTTTGATTTGATGTAAACCCCTTCGTTTACAGGATCTAAAATATTTGATGCATATGCTTTAAATGCTAGGCTTAAACACCACGCTGCCTGACCACAAAGGGGCGCTACTTGAGGAGAAGGAAAGTCTAACAGCCCTGGAGATCTTGGAGTGAAATTGCAGCAGGAGAGTCACATGGAGCAGTTGTTGCTGATCAACTAACTTGGTCGAAATGGAAACATATAGCCACCCCCAAAGAGATAGAAAAGAACAATCAATCCTACTTCAATGGTGGCACATTTTGATAAATTATTGTTATATCTTTTTGGTGGTAAGTATAAGTAAGTATACCTTTATAATATATATATATATATGCAGGGATTGTAACAAAGATTTCATCATTCATCATTCAGGAGAGGAATCCACTTGCCATTTGGCAGTCCCCAGCCAGAACCACGAACACACCTATTGCAGAGATTATGTTCAAGCTGTGGTTGATGCCACTGCATGCTGCTGTGATGGTGTCAAGGGCTAGATTTGGAAAGACTTCAACAATTTGACACCGCTCATGGGAATCAAATTATTTAATGGCTTTCCGATGTTCATATTGAAGTCTAAATTTGGATGATTTATGATTATTTGGCGTGACCTTTGGGTAGTTTTTTCACATCCAAGTTTAACGCACCTTGTTACGCTCCATGTTTGGCCCAATGGAGGGAATTCGCAGATCGAAGGCGGAGCGGATGCTTGGGATTTGAAGCACTGGACAGGTTTTTTATTCGAAAAGATCGGCAACTCTGCGGTAGCAGTTTGTAGCTGGATGTCTGGATCCGAGCATGGAATGTTACCCTCCAGTAAATTAACAGTTGGACCCTGAAAACCACCCATTTTTAATGGAAACTAGTCTTCCAACCCCTATCTGCCAGGGTCTATGTTAATTTCCAGAGGGTATAACCCAACTAACGTTGAACATGTATGTGGGCTATGAGAGAATTCCATCAGCAAGCTGAGATGTTTCCAAGAATCACATGTTATGCTGGAACCAGCGACAATTGCACGGTCCAATGCTTAAGACGAGCAAAGGAGAATTTAGAAAAATTTGGTGTCCATAGCCAAAGTTCTTCAAACTCAATCTGGTTGGTGGTTTGGAACATGGCTTTCATTTTCCCACTTGGAAATTTCATCATCCCAATTGACGAACTCATGTCTTTCAGATGGGCTGAAACCACCAACCAGCAATTATTTACCCATTGTTTTCTTTGCGGTACCTTTTTGCCATGAAGATGCAACTTCAAGGAGTTCAGATGACCCCTATGCTGATGGATGCCTGAAAGATAATGCAGATCGCTAGTAGCTTGCTTGAACACTACTGGATTTGAAAATAAATTTAAATAAATATATTTATTATATTAAATAAATAATATAATATATATTAAATTATTGAAATATATATATATATTAAAATTTATCATATTTAAATTAAATTATATTAAAATTAT